TTGTCTTAGCTTCCTGTTGTTTAGATGTTTTCGTGTACGTTTAGGCTGCCTGGAACACGAGTTTAGTTTGTTATATTACCCTGAATTTAATACTGCTTTATTCCAGTCTTTATGCCCAACTTTCAGTATAGAAAGCAAAGAAATAGTCTTTAACAGAAAGGGAAGAAATTCCTAAAAATGTTTTCCATGTTGTCTTGTCTACAGACAACCTTATTGTCTGTCATATATTTTCTTAGTCTGTTGTTGTCTGGTCTGTAGAAAATCTCAAATCGACGATTTTCTTAGTTAAACAATTCATGTCCAGTTTCTTGTCATGAAGTGGGCACCACCTTTTCCCCCTTTCTCAAGTAACCAAAAGATTGTTTAAACATATATCGTTTCGATTTCTTGGTTCAGGTCCTGGATGTTCTTCCATTGGGTATGGGGCAACCCAAGAGATCGGACCTTTCCTCGTCGACTCTGATGAATCCAGTCTAACAGTTAATCCTTATTCATGGAACAAAGGTTTAGTATCTGTCTGTCTCTCTTAACAACCTTAAAGTTCTCAGTGACCTGACATTATTGTTCTTTATTGATACTGCAGAAGCAAACTTGCTATTCCTGGAATCTCCGGTTGGTGTTGGGTTCTCGTACTCGAATACGAGCACTGATTATGCCAATCTTGGGGATGATTTTGCAGGTTAGATTTTTTCACGGCTGGAAATTATGGAATTTCCGACCACCTGAAAGTAATCTTAAATCAATTCGAAAGCAAAAAGTGGTCGGAAATAGCAACAAAGCTTTTTCCGTATACCAAAAGTGGTCGGAACAAGGCTTTCGACTTGATTTAAGATCACTTTCAGGTGGTCGGAAATTTCAAAATTTTCAGTAGTGTTTTTTTTTTTTCCCCTTTCTGCATCCATTCTTTCTGACCTTGCACCCGTGTACATGTTAGCAAACGACGCGTATGCATTCCTGCACGAGTGGTTTCTCAAGTTCCCATCGTATAAAACCCGAGCCTTTTACATTGCTGGGGAGAGTTATGCAGGTATTTGTCACAAGAACTATCTACTGCTACATTTATCTCAAGATTTCATACGCCCCGAAGATTTTTGTTTTGTGTGTTTGACAGGGAAGTATGTTCCTGAGCTGGCTGAGATTATTGTTGACAGAAACAAAGACCCTTCCCTTTTCATTGATCTTAGAGGGATTCTGGTATGGCTGTTCTTCTGATCTGCAACTATAAAAACACAGTCTTTCGAGTGCTCTTTATTGACTATTAATGATGGGCTATTGCTCGTTCGTTGCAGCTTGGCAATCCCGAAACGTCTGATGTTCAGGACTGGCAGGGCATGGTGGATTATGCTTGGAGCCACGCTGTGATATCCGACGAGACTCACAGAACGATCATAGCGTCGTGTGATTTTAACAGCAACGATACGTGGAGCAATCAGGACTGCAGCCAGGCTGTGAATGAACTGCTGAAACAGTACAAGGAGATCGATATCTACAGCCTTTATACATCGGTCTGCATTGACAGCTTGACTGGTTCGGGCGATAATTCAACTCCAGTGTTCAAGACCACATCCAAAATGGTAAGTAAAGAACCTGTTCTAAATTCCGCTCTCAGATCCTAAAGAATGTGTTCTGTCTTAGCTAAAAGTTTAAGCGTACAGTAACGTCTTGTTTTGTGATCAGATGCCAAGAATCATGGCGGGATACGATCCATGTCTCGACGACTACGCCAAATCTTATTACAACAGGCTGGATGTTCAGAAAGCCCTTCATGTCAGTTCTGGTCACCATCTCAGGGACTGGAGAATCTGCAAGTATGTAATGCAAGTTAATTTCTTGTTTTACATTATCACTGTTAAGAGTCCACAGGTTAGACTAGCTAATTGGTTGGATTCGGTCTTTTAGTGTGGTTTGACCCATATACATTACAACCCAGTCGGCTAACCTCGACCAATCTGGTGCAGTATGTCAGTCTTCGACGGGTGGTCTGACTCGAAGGAATCTGTTCTTCCCATATATAAGAAACTCATTGCTGCAGGAATTAGAATATGGGTATACAGGTACACGGTTCCTTAACGAAAAGTCTACGTTTACTTCAATTCTTCGGGTTTTTTTCTCCAGTTTTTCATTCTCCATTCTCGGTGATGCAGCGGCGACACTGATGGAAGGGTTCCTGTGTTGTCTACAAGATACAGCATAAGTACTCTTGGTCTTCCCATTACCAGAGAATGGAGGCCATGGTACCATCAGAAACAAGTAAGATGCATATCTGCTAAATTGCTTCTGATCTCTGTGAAAGAGAAAATGGAATATTTTGACCTCTGTGAACAAGAAAAGGGAATGAAATCATATTCTAGTGATGACAATATTCCTTTGATTTGAGAGCACACAGGTATATTTTAGGATAAAACAACAGACAGAACCCTTTGACAAAACTGGGATATTATAGCAAAAAGAAATGCAAAAGTCAGTTGATTCAACCGATCACTTTAAAGTTTTGTTACATCGGCAGTGTAGGGTTTGAATCGTACTGGGAATCTGGGGGTCATTGGGAGATCAGAGTGTACAGACGGGAGTGGGGTCTAGAGTGACGGAATGACTCGCGATTTACCTCCTCCACGCTCTTGGGTAGGGGCTTTGAAGGCATAGGATTAGTCTAGCGTACACTAAGGTACCTAATGTATTAAAAATAATGCAAAAGTTGAACAATAATCAAAACAAACTATAGTTAACCCAACATTCATAAGTGAACTATTAATACAACTGTAAGATCAGATGATAAATTCTTACAGTAATGTTGTACTGCATTAAACAGCATATCTGACTGTTCGAGTAAGAGTCAAACTCTGCTGATGCGACCTGAACTGAATCCGGATTAGTGACTTAGGCATATAAAATCTTGTGATTGAACAAGGCAGAGGGAGAAAGACATAAATTCTTTGTCACTATTCCAACCTTTTTTTGTGGTGGAGTGGAATCTGTACACAAATCTTTTAATTTTCCTTTTTGGCATGGCATTTCAACAGGTTGGTGGATGGGTTCAGGAATATGAAGGGCTTACTTTTGCTACTTTTAGAGGAGCTGGCCATGCAGTCCCCACTTTCAAGCCAAGTGAATCCCTGGCATTCTTCTCATCATTCCTCTCTGGGACATCTCTCCCGTTTAAAAGATAAATCAGTATTGTGTGAGACCGTCTCATCGAGAAATGTATAATAACTTTTTACAAACGTATAAAAAAATATTATATTTTAACTAAAAAATATTACACGTCTCACAAAAATTACTCTTAAAAGATAGATAATCTGATACTAAGCTCCAATTGATATTGTTATGATGGTGTTTAATGCAGTAATTTCAGCTAGAAATAGCAATGATATGATGTAATGTTTTATGCAGCAAAAAGAGAAGAAATTATTTATGGTCCCTCAATAGTGCTACCATCAAAAACATCTATTTCTTTTGGCTATCCATGTAATAGAAAATATGGTACTAGTAAACTTGATTACCAATTTAATGTCTTACGAGTTATTATGATGTAATAGACAGACTTTGTATTAAAAGTAAAATATTATTAAAAATATTGACAAATGATCCAATTATCTTTTCGAGTTCACATGGGTAATGGTATAATTTGTAATAATTCAGGGGTTCATTTAGCCGTGAAACTCATTCTTATCACATATTACAAGTTTTAACGTATTAACTTTCATCGTTGAAGAAATAGCCCGAAATATCTGTTTAACAATATGCTTAATTTTTAATATAGCCTCCACTAAGGTTCAAACCCATGAACTCCCACTTAAGAAAGTCACAATATCACTTGACCACAAGGTATTTGATTCATAAATTTTTAAAAGTTACAATTAAACATTTGAACTCAATAAAATAATGCAATTAATTTTTTTTTTTACTGGTAACCTGATATTTTAATGTTTTTTAGGATTTCGGCAATTGGTGGTTGCCTACTTGAGGAAGAAGGCAACTAGCCATTCATCTTTTGTTTGAAGAAGCAAGTGAAGGTCACCGGCGTATAGATTTTGTTTTTTTTTTTTTTTCTTTTTTTTTTTTTTTTTGTTGCGAGTTGACAAGTAAGCATTACCAGTTTTTACTAAGAGTATCCCAATTGACATAGATTTTGAGGAGTTTTTACAAGTGTGAATAGAAAAGAAAAGACAAGACGGAATGAAAAAAGGAAAAAAAATTGCAAAACAAAATTTGGAAAAAAAAAAAAAAAAAAGTTCACCGCGTTGCGTGGCGTGCACACACCCGACCTCACGCGCAGCAAGGAACTTCTTTGTTTGTTTGGTGGAGGCCCACTATTCCTGCAAGAATCTTGAACACTACCTCTCTTATTTCTCTTTCCTCCACCTAAGCTTTAAAACCTGCAAAAACCTTCCAAAATCCACTATTGTGTATGCCATTGGACTCATGCACAAAAATGACAAGTTAATGTATTTAATTGCATGCAACATTTTAAAGTTAAAAGTTGAATGGCTTATTTGACAATTTTCCCATTTATTTTTTATTTTTCTTAAAAGACAATAATATGGAATGATAAGAAATATAGTATGAAAAGCGCCAAAAGAATATAGAACATCCCATGCTTAGGGAAAAAAGGGCCACATACATTTCCTGTCAGGTAAATATTGGATAAGTAGAGAATAGATGCAGTTGACATTACAGGATAAATTATTGTTGAATTGTTGACAAATTAGCATACAAAAGATTCAAAGAAAGAAGCTATACTTCATGCCAAAGATAAAAGCTTTTTCCAAGGCATTTCAGGTAAATATTCTAAAATGTGAACTGTGAAGTTGTAAGTGCACAATGAAGTGTATTATTCTTCAAGCAGTTTATGCAGAAAAGAATTATGGTGTTTTTCCTTGGCAAATTGCAGTGAACAGTTTGCAGCATTACACAATGCACATATTCACCATTTATATATGCAATTATGCCTTATGAAAAGTAATCATGCACTAAAGCATTAGCATTAGGGCAATCAATGCTAAGAAATGCTGCTTATATTCATCCTCATCTTGGGATCAAAAGACGGCATTATGATGAAATGACAGCAAATGTAACAATAATGCAGAACAATCACAAGAATGACCAGGCTAAAGGTTCCATTAGTAAGAGCAAAAGTTAGATTTTTAAAAGTGCTGTTAGATAGATTAGGAACCTGGGAGAAGTCCAGGAACAATGTCAATAGTAGCAGAATAAAGTTAGTCTCTTGAACGACAGCGCCTCTTCTTGGCATTATTCCCTCCCGTCTCCTCTTTATCAGAATTAATTTTGTTTCTCTTCTCCATCTGCCCATCTCTGTCTTGGACCTCACAGTTGGGAGCTGATGTTACTTCCTCCATGGCACTTGGCCTGGGAGCCTGCCCTTCATCTTCATCAAAAGCAGTCTTGAATAAGGCTTTAAAGATATGGTTCTGAGCTACCTTGTCACTCAGGATCCTGCTTAGGACAGCTTCCATATTTTCCCGGGCATATGATTGGGCGGCTTGCCTGAATTCCTCTGATTGTCTCCACTCCTGGATGGCCTTATCCTGGGTAGAAGCAAGTTCTTCATCTTTGGCATTGAGCTGCTTCCTCTGGACCTCAACCTTCTCGCTGAGCTTCATCTTCTCTTGCTCCAGGGCTTCCAACCTGGCCTGCGCAGCAGAGTTGGCTTTGTTGGAGGCTTCAAGTTGTAACTCCAGCACTTTCACCTTGGCCTCAGCTGCAGTGTTCTCGGCTTCTTGGGTGATCCCCTGCTCGGATGCAGCATCCCCCCGGTCAATCATCGCCAGACCGTACATAATGGCCTGTGCACACGAGAGGTTAAAGCAGACAGTCAAGAAAGAAAGGGATGAATGATGCACAAGTACAAAAGACTTGGAGTCACCTCCAGTTGAGAGCGAATGAACCACCGGCTAAGGGCCTTATTATCTCCTGTCTTGACCAGGCCAGTCATCTCAAAATGTGAGGCCAGCCTTCGCGCCAGTGCCACTGGATCATCTTCTTGACTTTTGTCCTGCCTGGTACTGGCTACACAGATAGCCTTGCCCTTCTCTTCAGACTGCCTGGAACCCAGACGGGATAAAGACCTAGCCTGCTTCTCACCCACACAACCCTCAATCTGCTCGCATTCCTCTTCTACGCCCATGTCTTCAGGCCCTGCAACAACATAAAAATTGTCAGTCATATGACAAACAGAACCCAAACACAAGCCCTAGGTGTAAAACACAACCTCTAGCATCATTCCCTCCCATGCAACACGACCTTTCATCCTGCTTGGTGCTGGCTTCACAATCCTTGCCCTTCTTTTCAGACAACCTGGAACCTAGACGGGATAAAGACCTAACCTGCTTCTCACCCACTGAACCCTCAATCTGCTCGCATCCCTCTTCTACGCCCATGTCTTCAGGCCCTGCAACAAGGTAAAATTCGTCGGTCGCATGACAAACAGAACCCAAACACAAGCCCTAGGTGTAAAACACAACCTCTAGCATCATTCCCTCCACTGCAGCACAACCTTTCGTCCCGCTTGGTGCTGGCTTCACAGATGTCCTTGCCCTTCTTTTCAGACTGCTTGGAACCTAGACAGGATAAGGACCTAACCTGCTTCTCACCCACAGAACTCTCAATCTGCTCGCATTCCTCTTCTGCGCCCATGTCTTCAGGCCCTGCAACAAGGTAAAAATTGTCAGTCACATGACAACCAGAATCCAAACATAAGCCCTAGGTGTAAAACACAACCTCTTGCATCATTCCCTCCCCCGTCCCTTTTGCAAGAACTAATTGTGTTTCTCTTCTCAATCTCCGCATCCCTGTCTTGGTCCTCATTGCTGGGAGATGAAGTCAGTTCATGCTCACTCCATGGATACTGATCTTCTTTGCTAGGAACTGAGAGGACATAACTATGCAAAGCAGGAGCAGAACTAGAATAGATAATAAACAATATCATTAAGAAGATACAGCCAAACCAGGATATTAAAATAGAATCAACAGAGGACCACTAAGGGACTGATAAACAGATCTAAATCTAAATGGGAAGAGCATTTAATTACCACAAAATATACTCCATGATAAAATGACAAGAATGTGAGTCTCACTTGTACTTACCCTAAAAAAATAAACTATGCAAAGCAAGAGCAGACCTAGAATAGATAATAAACAAAATCATTAAGAAGATACAGCCAAACTAGGATATTAACACAGAATCAACAAAGAGGATCACTAAGGGACTATTAAACATATCTAAATCTAAATGGGAAGAGCATTTAATTATCAAAAAATATACTCCATGATAAAATGACAAGAATGAGAGTTGCACTTGTACTTACCCTAAACAAAAACTATCAAACTCATAATCCCAGAGGTAAGGAACGTCTTTATATTGAAAGATCTTGGAGGAGATAATCTCTGCCCTTCCCTCATCCATTGAGGAAATTTGGATTTCATGTTCATATGCCAAATCAATCTTGAAAACGCAAACTGCAAGAGCTTCGAAGACACTGTAAAAAGCCCAACAAAACTTTCCACTACCAAGATCAAATAGCTGACCCCTGCCACCATATGGGGGGTGGTCAACATAAGCTTCATGTATATACCTGTAAGATTTAGGGCTGAAAGAACCCTTGGGATGAAGGCAAACACGATATGCAGTAGGTCTTCTGTCACTAAGGGCAACCAAAACATGAGTATTGTCAGAAAACTCATTGGAAAGCGCTATACTACCACGGTGATCAAAGGGGAGAGGAATATCTTTTTCCTTAAATTGGAGCACCATGGCCTCTTCTTCCCGCCATTTCGACAATCTAGTGTTGAAAGAGAAGACACGGTGGACACCTGAACCCCCATCGTCATCGCTGGATTCTTCGAGAAACAAATATAGATAACCGCGGAGAACAAATGCCCCAGATACCTCATAAACCCTAACCCGATTATCAAGCACGAAGGGAGGCGGCGGCGGAGTGTAAAATCGATTTTCGGCAGAATCAAAAGACCGAAAATAGAAGGGAGCAATTCGCTTTGGGAAGAAGTAAATCATACGGTTAGCACGAACTACATGAGGACATTTCATGGCTCCGAAATCGCCATAAAAGTCTGGTTCGTCAACACATTCCGGATCTCTAACAGGAAATTCATTGAATCTGGTAGGATTGAAAGAATAAAAGCTAGTCCCATCTGGGTACCGACCTGTTTCTGCAGAATCGCCGCCAATCATATACAGAGTATGTCGGTTGCTGAAAAGTCCCATATCCTTGAAGAGGCTGGAGCATAACCTGCTTGATGGCTCATAGTATACACACTCAACCTTGAGTTCCTTCTTGCAGAATCCAAAGTCTGAGACATTTATACGAAAGAGTCCCTCTTCGTGAAGCATATAAAGATACGTGAACTCTCCCATGGTTGTGCAATTGATGTAACCCTAGATACGATTTGAAGGCATCAACTTCCTCTCTTTTTCATGTATATGAATCCGGATAACCGTTGGGTGATCCCGCCATGGACTAACAAGACGTTTGGTCCCTGAGGCAGTGAGAAAATAATAAATGTAAGAATTCTATTTACATTCTTTGTTTAGAGGGAATAAAATCATTGAGAATGAATAGAGAAATAATAACCAAGCGAAAATGGTTAAATACATCCTTAAACATTATCTAAGAAGTTAATTAAAATTTTAAATTTTTAAAAGTTATAATTAAGTATATAAAATATTAATTTAATGTACTCAATATCTAAATACCTGTGACTTGTAATAACAGATCACTAAGTTGTTTGTAATATTTTTATCGAAAATCGACGACGGCGACCAGCACATCTCCAGAGAAGGATTGGTCGCCTTCTCCGACGACTAGAGATGGCGACCAAACCTAGTCGCCATCTCTGTGACGAAGGACTCCGTCCTTTGGAGATGGTGACTAACCCTTCTCCAGTGATGTAATGGTCATTGTCGTCGATTTTCATACTGGAACATGACCAGACAACTTAGTGATCTATTATTACAGGTCATCAATTGGTATTTGGGTCTTGATGCACTAAATCGACTTGTTTATGTATCTAATTGTAAGTTTCAAAAGTTTAAGGACTTAATTGACTTCTCAAATAAAGTTCGGAGATTGTATTTAACCTTTTTTCTTAATAATAATAACAATAATTAAGGATGATTTTTCTTTTTCCTTTTCTTCTTTCTTTCTTAGGTTGAATTTGAATTCAAAGAGAGGTATGAATTTCAATTCTATAAAAAGGATTGAATTATAATTTCCTTCCACCAAATAATGTAATTTTTATAGCCAAAGCATTAGACTGTAATTGTATTCTACATCTTACCAAACAAGTCATAAAGTTTACAAGAAACAACAATAATAATTTTATTTTTTTAGGTGATGATTGAAATATGTCGTAATCACTATTTAAGTTTGTATTGGATATAGTTGGTAAAGGATGTAATTATGGTCTTGTGACTTCAATTAGTAAAAGGATAATAAAAATAATTTTTGATTAGTAAATTAATAATGCGAACAACTTGGTTGGGTCGAAGAAAAAAAAAATGAAAAGAGTGTGAATATACTTCACAATTAGTGCTTAATGTAACATGTTATTTTTTTTATTTTTTTTACAAAATTAAAAAAAAAAAAAAGAATAAATTGTCAAACATTTATCACTTTATTTTTTAATCAAAACAAAGCTTCATTCATTCTTTCAAATGCTGAACCCCAACCCTAAGGGCCCCCCACATCCCGGCAAACAAAGCTTCATTCATAATATTCCATATTCAAGACATTTTCATAAATAAATTAAAGGTGGAGTAACATGTCACTCCATACAATCTAGCATAGAACATGTCTTCCTAGTTATGGCATGAAACGGTTGTAGAGTATCTAACAAACAAGAAGTCTAACAGACAAGAACTTCAAGCAATTAAATATTTAAATGTACCAATAAGTGACTTTAAATTTTTAAATTAGTTCAATGGTTATTATAATTCCGCTTAACAAATAAGAACTTCAAACAATTAAAAGATACCAATAAGTTACTTTAAATTTTTAAAAAGTTAAATTTTTAAATTAATTCATTGACCATTAAAATTTCGTTATTTAACGGTTTTCCTAATAAGTGACAAAATTGGGTATAAAAATAATAACAAATAATCAAAATATCGATAATTTGTTGGGTATAAAATTAATAGTTTGAGGACTAAAACATGTAATTTTTAAAGCCAATAAAAATGTAATAAATGTGAATAATTGATAAACCAAATCTAGAATTAATCATTTTTTATGATGTATGTTAGTGCATACATTCGAATAGTAACTACGAGTTTTTCTCGTCATAAAAAGCATCGATCAACTATGAAAATATCTCACGATTTTATTATCACCATAAATACATGGATTACCTTCGTGTGCCCGCGACACGGTTGACTTTATTATAAACCAAAGGAAAGTATGTTAATTTTAAAAGGAAGAAAGTAGTGTATTTACTAGTCACCGCAAGTCTGCAACTTTTTTTTTTTTTTTTTTTTTTGTATTTCTCATCAACGTGCTTTCCATAGCCATTCATATTCAACATTTATGCAATTATGCTCATCAAAAGTTATAATGCACTAAAGCATTAGACAATCAAGGCTAATAAATGCTGTTTAATTATATGCATCCTCATAATGGGGGGACCAAAACACATCATTATTATGGAATGACAGAATAATCACAAGAATGGCCAGGATAGAGGTTCCATTAGTAAGAGCAAAATTTAGATTTTTATAAGTGATGTTAGATAGAATTGGAACCAAGGAAAAGTCCAGGAACAACAGTAGCAGGATAAATTTAGTCTCTTGAACGACAGCGCCTCTTCCTGCTATCCCTGTCTTCCCGGGCATATGAACGGGCGGCTTGCCGGAATTCCTCTGATTGTCTCCATTCCTGGATTGCCTTATCCCGGGTAGAAACAAGTTCCTCATCTTTGGCTTTCAGCTGCTTCCTCTGAGCCTTGACCGTCTCACGGAGCTTTATCTTCTCGTGTTTCAGTGCCTCCAACTGGGCCCGAGCAGCAGAGTAGGCCTTGTTGGAGGCTTCGAGTTGCAACTCGAGTGCTTTCACCTTGGCCTCCGCTGCAGCATACCCAGCTTCTTGGATGATCCTCTTCTCGGATGAGGCATCTGCCCGATCAATCATGGCTAGCCCATACATAATCGACTGTGCACAAGTTAAAGCAGTCAGTAAAAAGGCTCGTAAAAAGTATTACACCTCAATCCCGAGGGTCTAATCAAAACGAATCCTAGCTACTACTTTGAGTTGAGTGCGCATGAACCACCGGCTAAGGGCATTATCTCCGGTCTTGTCCAGCCCCTTCGTCTCAAAATGACGGGCCAAGCTCCTCGCCAAGGCCACCGGATCATGTTCCGGGCTTTCCCTTTCCTCCTTCTTCCCCTTCTCCTTATACCGCTTGGACACCAAACTGGATGAAGATCTAGCACCCGCAGAACCCTCGAACTGCTTGTGTTCTTGATATGCTTCCATGGCTTCTTCATCAAGGTAAAAATCATCACTGTCTTCGTCCTCATTGCTGGGACCTCCACTTACTTCATACTCCGGACGCCTTTCATTGCAGCTGTGAACTGAGTATAAGGGGGAATAGCTTTGCGTTTCAGGAGCAGAACTTGAAACTGGGGGAGATCTGGGAGAATAGGCGGATGAATAGATTTGCATTGCAGGAGCATAACTAGAATAGAACAAACAATACCAAATCAACCAAGAAGACTATAACAACTATAATTTTTTTTTACAAAACTATAAAAGGTAAATACACTATTGGAAATTATGGAATTTCCGACCACCTGAACATGAAAGTGATCTTAAATCAAGTCGAGGTTCCGACCACTTTCGGAAAAACCTTTGTTGCTATTTCCGACCACTTTTTGCTTTCGACTTGATTTAAGATCAAGTTCATAGGATCGGAAATTTCATAATTTTCAGCCCTGATAGATTAATTCTATGAGTCAAGTTCAAAACTTTATAATTATCAAAATCAACTAGGTTTGAGTTGTTCTCTATAGCACCGATAGAAGGCCAATAGAAGGCCAATAGGCTACACATAGCTAAACCAAATTGGCTGAAATTGCCCCAGCAACAACTATAGAGTAAATGTAGAAGTCAAACTTAAAACCTTAATTTTTTCCAGATCAATTTGATTGGGGTTGTCCTGGTATAACAATTACATGAAAAGAATGTGAGTTGTACTTACGCTAAACAAACATCAGTAAACCAAGTGTTCCTGACGAAAGGAATGTCGTCGTCCTGAAATTTCCTGGATGCGAGAATCTCTGAGGAGACAATTTCATCGTCGTCGTCGATTTGGATTTCATGTTCAACTGCAAAATCAATCTTGAATACGCATACCACAAGAGCTGAATTACTGTAATCAATCAAACAAAATTTTCCACCGCCAAGATCAAGCAAGCGCGCCACGTTACGATCCTCGTAGCGGTCATCGTTCTCGATATGAACCTCACGCAGATGCCTGTAAGATTTAGGCACGAGAGAGCCCTTCGGATGGATGCAAACTCGATAAGCCGTAGGCATTCTGTCACTAAGGGCGACCATAATCTGAGTATCGCCGGAAAATTTATCGGAAAGCCCTACCTCGCCGCGGTGGTCATAGGGGAGAGGAATACCTTCCTCCTTAAATTTCATCCTCATTGGCTCTTCCTCCCGCCATTGTAGCAATCTGGTGTTGAAGGAGAAGGCACGGATACAGGAGCCGCAGGACTCTCGGAGAAACAAATATATAAAATCGCGGAGAGGAAGAACGCCGGAGACTGAATCGAATCCCTCCCGCTTATCAAACGGCGGCGGCGGCAGGCTGTGAAAGCGGTTTCCGGCGGGGTCAAAGGACTGGAAGTGGAAGTTATCGACGGAGTCCGGGACGATGCAAAACCTATTCTCAGCACGAACCACGAAAGGCCACTTCACCGGCTGGTAGCCATTATTAAAAGTAGCTGGTTCGCGAAAACACTCGAGATTTTTAACAGGAAACTCATTGAATCTGTTGGGATCGAAGGTATAGAAGTTTGATTCTGCAGAAGCGCCGCCGATCATGAACAGATTGTGGCGGTGGCTGAAGAGTGCCATATCCGTGAAGATGAAGTTTGATTGATCATATAATACACACTCAAGCTTGAGTTCTTCGTGCTTGCGGCGGGGTTGATCAAAGGCGGAGACATTAACGCGAAACAGTCCTCTTTGGTGAAGCAAATAAACATATTTCGACTCTTCCATTGTTGTGGGATTCATGTATAACCCTAGATATAAAAAAACAACACAAAAACTTCAAATATATATAATATATAATATATACGGAGTAATATATAATATATAATATATAATATACTCCGTAATATAATATAATATTCCATCCGTGGTTAATCAGACTTGAGTGAAGTTATTTTTAATCCAATTTTACATAATATTAAGTTTGGTATTAGAATACAAAATTTATATATTTAGAAACTACACTAAAAGTACTATTAAACACAAAATAAAATGTCAAATTTAAAAATAAGTACGTACAAAATACTACATAAAATAAAGAAAAAAAGAAAAAAAATTTACTAATAAATAGTGGCCCTGTTTGGTAAAAAATTGGCCTATATATCAATTTTGGCTTATTTGATCACTATTAATTATTTGATTTAGTTAAAATATCAATATAAATGTTTGGTTAATTAGCTTTTTACAACTCTAAAAGGCTAAAATTCAAAAAGTTACTTAAGTAACTTTTTCATTTAGCTTTTTGAGAAAAGAAATTATACCAAACAGCTATCAACTAATTTCCCAAACATTTTTCTACAATCAGTTAATGTTATCAACTATTTATACTATCTAATTAACACAATCAGCTAACAGACATTTTACCAAACAGGGCCAGTAAGTAAGACAAATTAAAAAAATAGGACAGAAATAGTATAATATAATTACGATTCACGTTTGGGCGGGCATTCACAGCACAAGTCCTTTTCCTAACAAAACACGGCCACCTTGTTTTCCATATATATATATATATATATATATATATATATATATATATATATACATATACATATACTAGTAAATTACCAAAATTTTGTATTATATATTTATATAATAAAATTGAAGATGAAATTATAAATAATTATAATATTTGATTATTATATTAGTGCAAAAGTATTAACACAATTAATTTAATAATATATGGCTCAAATTATTTTTTAAAAAATTAATATTATAATATAATTTAGGCAATTACATTATTACTAAAATAGATATGAAAAAATGGGATATTAAAATTATTTTATAATTAATTTAATTGTTGATTATATTTTAGTTAAATTTCTATGAATGGTAAATCATATATGTATTTTCATAATACATATATTATTTGCATATAAATATAATTTGAACTATAATTTTTAATTATGTATATTTATCAATTTTTAATATTGAGCATGAATTTTCGCACATCACACATACAAAATGCTAATATATACTAAAAATAAATGTGTATGTTAATGGTCTACCTTACAAAGTAGACCATGATTCACGGTGTTCGAAATATTTAATTTTCATTCGTTCGATGCAATCAAGATTTATGATAAAAACTAAAAATAGTAATTAAAAATTCTCAAACACTTTTTTGTTCATGAATAAATTAATTTCACTTTTGGTTCTACGACTTTTGAAGTCTTATCACGTTTGTTGAACAATTTTAAAATTTTCACTTTTGGTGCTTAATTGTGTTATTATTATTAGTACAACTTTTGGTCCTTACGGTCAAATTGATGGTGAAATGTTGTCGAATTTTATATTTTAGGGACAAAATCGCCATTCAAGGAAAGATATTCAATATCTAAACAAAAGAAAAATAATATTAAGAGAAAAAAAAGAGTTTTCGAATCTTTGACGCTATAAATCTCATAGATCTGTGTCTAGTTTCTGTCCGTCTTCCCCATTATTCTCATTGATCAAACACCTATAGATATTTTGTTTACATATTGAAGATGTTTCCTTGAGATGATGATTATACCCCTAAAAATATAAACTTCGGTAACATTTCACCGTCAATTTGACCAAACGGACAAAAAATGATAAAAATAACAAAGTTATACACCAAAATTAAATTTTTTTTAAAATTTTGCAGCAAAAGTGATAAAACATCAAAAGTCGTAAGACCAAAAGTGAAATTAATTCTTCATGAATTAAGCATTATTTTGATCAAACTTTTTTTAGATTTGAGAATATATATAAAATCTGAAGATTTGATATAATTTTTGTTAATTTTGTTATCTTACCCCAAAAGGACTTGATACAATATCATACATATCTATTGGTTGTTAGGATCGTTATGAAATTGTCAAATTTAAAAAGAAAGCTAAAATATGTCAATAATTTCTCTTAACTTATGTGTTTTAATGAAACAATTATTGACACGTTCTCGTCTATATGTGTATATGTAACACAACATCATATCGTCTATAAAGTAAAAATAATTTAGACTTTAATTGTAATTTTTTTATTGAGTGACAGAGAGAAATATGCATGCAGTCACTATTTGATGAAGAAATCTTAATGTTTCAACCATGAAAGCTGGTAAGGTTGATGCAATACTCCCTCGGCGATAGAGACACCAAGCCCGGTTTGAACATTATTATTTAAGGTGGCGGAATCGTTAGGTGACAGTTGATTCAGCAATGATATGAAGGAGTTACTTCCCTCCATGATTGCATTATTGTTAGCAGCCTCATGATGATGATGATCCTCGTCGATTCTAGGCGGCGCCGCCGTGATTCCCATGGCCATGCACGTTTGATCTCTCGGGGAATCCCAGGATGTTTGGGTTCCGTTAATCCCGCCCGACATCATCGTCCCGTTATATAAATTATGTGCGTTGTTGATCTCGAAAAAATCACCAAAACTCAACCCTCTTGACGCCCTGGAATTGGGATTTTGGTGATCGCTGCCACCGCCGCCGCAGCCATCCAGCGACGTTGAAGTCGCAACCGTCGCATCCTCCGTCGGATCACCTCTTCCGCCGCTCTCCACCGGTCTACTCGAACCATTTTTCTTGAAAATCCGGCACAACACCCAATCGTCTAACTGCGTTGAAACGAATTAAATACAATACATAAGTCAAATAAAACTCAACTTTATATATAAAAAATAACAATTAGACATCTGAAATTCAATAAATTACAATTAAACACTCAAATTTGTTACAATTAATCAAGTAAGTCATGTTTACTTGTAATTTGTACTAACAAAATTACGATGACATAGCATGCAAGTCGTTTGCCGCCAATCGTCTTCTTTCGTGGAGAAAGAGACTAATCCAATCGCCCTTTTTAATGACAATATTGACCAGTAACCATTCACCGTTAAAACCCTAATGACAGATTATTCTATGTAGATAATAGGCTATTGAGCCCAGATGCACCAAAGTTACAAATTAAAGTGTTTAATTGTAACTTTTAAAAGTTCAACCTAACCTAATTAATTTGTCAGATCTATTTGACCATTTTCCATATCAATATTATTCAATGCAAACATAATTAACAGCGCATGTGTTACATACCCTTAAAGAGCTTTTCTTGTTTACTATGTCATCTCCGAGAGGACGATGAGCCGAAGAGGCCGTCATAGAATTAACAACGTTGTCGGGAAGGCGATATTCGTGCATGACCCAATTGGTCTTCATCCCTTTCGGCGGCTTCCCCCGGTAGAAAACCAGTGCCTTCTTGACGCCGGCCTTCTGCGTGCCGTTACACGTCAATATCGGTTTATCAGTTCCGGTGGCCTTCCAGTACCCCGACGTAGCCGCTCGATTCGGCCGTGTCCCGTTCGGGTACTTCCGGTCTCTGGGGCTGAAGAAATACCACTCTTGCTCCCCGAACTTCGCCTTGCCTGAATATTCACCGGAAAATCAAGAAAACCTCAGATAACCTATTGGCTTTCTTGATTTGAAGCGCAACTATTAACAACCTAACATGATTTACTATCAATTATCTCCTTGTGTTTCTATATCAACTAGAGTTATATATAAGGCCGAAATTTATGCATTGCACACCCTTGTATAATAACTGCATATATGTTCTTTCGTCACCCAAAATCTATACATACACGAATGGTATATATATATATATATATATATATATATATATATATATATATATACTCCCAGCAGGAGCGGCCTATTAACTTTTTTGATTTGAAGCGGTCAACTATGGACAACTTAACTTGATTTACTATGGATTATCTACTTATGTTCCTATATCTATTAGAGTGATAATGCGAGATTTATGCTGTACACATCTTCAGATAATGATGCATGTTTTCCTTGATACCTAAAATCTATACAGAAATGAGAATATTACTTGGGAGCTCCCATGGATCGAATTTGTAAAGATCAACTTCGGCAATTATGGTGACGGGCAACGGGAGGGAAGCCGTCTTTTTCTTGAGGTAGTGGACGACGAGCTCCTCGTCGGTGGGGTGGAACCGGAAGCCCGGCGGCAGCCGTGGGTGGCCGGAATCGGATCTTGAATCGGCGGTGCTCTCCATATATAAATGTGCTAATTTGCCTAATTTTGGTTGCTGGGCATCTAATTAAAACTGCGAAGAAATATATTTGTAGGGTACAACGTATGACTGTATTGATGGTCGGGATACCGAACGGTCACCACTGGATGCACGACACGCGTTGGTTGATGACTGCGTTGGTTTTGACACGTCAGAAGTGTGGCAGTGGGGACCACTCCTACGTAGGACAGAAACAAAATACAGCTAAACAGCACGCTGTTGATGTCATGCGTTTCCTGTGTAACAGAACAGAAACTCTTTTCCTGTCCAGCTCATCAATTCGTTCGAGTTCGGAGTAGCATATTTGTGTATTTTCAGTTAATAGATTATGTTAAGAGTATATATAATATGTGAACGGTAAGTAATAAGTTAAACATATATACTGTAATATTTTAACTACATAATCTAGACTAGGGTTCATAATGTGCAATGTATAGTAGACCCTGGTCTACGATATAGATAATTTTTACCGTGGATTGTAGTTCACATAGTAGCATGGACCAAGTAGATAAACGATGTCGTTTGAAGTTTTTTCGTTAACAATGGTAGACGTCAAATTTCGTTATGGTCCATGTAATAACCTCTCTCATTATTCAGTTTCATGTACTAACGTGTATTTGTCAAATGAATAGAATATGAATTATAATTAAAATGATACTCCAGCTTTATTATTATTATAATAAAACTAGTGCATGTGAAAAAATGAAAAAAAAAATTAAAATAAAATCATACAATAGCTTATATTATCAAATGAAATTGGAGTGTAATTAAAAAGATACGACGTCATTTTAATTCATGGTGCATGATGCTAAATAGACCATGATCTACAGTAAAATTGCCTGGTGAAACAATATTGAACTTAATTTTATTTATTTTTTTAGAAAACAAAACAAACATAGAAATTATCATTAATGGGAATAAAAAAATGTGCAAATACAAAGGGTAACAAGGTTCCAACTCTTGACTAGACTGAGAGGTCATACATTCAGTAAGGAAATATGGTTCACCGTTCTCTTATTTGATTTGATAATAAGACTACTATAAAAAGAGTCATAGATCTTTATAGGTAGGTATTGGATCACCTTTATAAGTGACAAGCTTTATAATAGATTAATCAATAGAATAGTGATAATTGATAAATAATACGGAGTATAATGTATAGTAGCTAAAACCATGAAGGGTATGACGATGAGATGCTCACTCGTCAATGTGCCCAGTCCTGATCAGGTGCTAAGAACTTAGGGGTATGATCAATTTGTTCCATACTTCCATCAAAAGGGTCAACTTTTTTCTCAGGGGGTGTATTCAATAAAATAGCTTTGACCTACTTAACATAAAATTATTAATAGATGTCACTCGAACATATAAAGTTTGAAAACAAAAAATTTATTTTGTCATCTCTGACTAATGGTGAAGAAATTGTATATATAGTGTTGAATTATATGTATGCACGGTACGGTGCACTTTCTCAAGAATGTACACAAATCAGTTGAATTACGTGTACGCTTGACTACGGCAATACATGGATTGGATTTTATGTACAAGTTAAATTTTAACACTCTGGTTGATGGCCATTGCACAACGGAGTTCATTTTATTGGAAAAGTCTTAACCTAAGTGAGTTGAATTAGAAAGGCAAGCATGTATAGTGTCGCAAAAAAAAAAAAACACAAAGGAGGAGAGAGAAGAAGTCGTCGGGGGCCAGTTCGCCAGAATCCTCACGACAGGCGTGGCCGTCGGTGACGGTGCGGATCGGCAAATTATGTTGTGGACCCGGGTCCGGGTCCAAAACGTTGTCGTTTTGCTTCAAAACGACGCCGTCTGAATTTTTTTAAAAATTGCTTCATTCCTTGCCGTTTGTCTTCATAATCCGTTCCTCTATATTCACAATTTTATATCTCAATATTCAAAATTACAGAACTCAATATTCAAAATTACAGAACTCTATATTCACAATTTTAGAACTCTATATTCGCAATTTTAGAATTGAATATTCACAATTTTAGATTTCAATATACAAAATTACAGAACTCAATATTCATAATTGCAGAACTCTGTATTCACAATTCGTCGAGGACTGACCCGCGGGAATAGTTTTTTTTTTTTTTTTTTTTTTTTTTTTCTTCTGTGAGTGATGGTGAAGAAAGTGTATATATTAATATATAGTGTTGAATTATATGTATGCATGCTGCACTTTCTCAAGAATGTACACAAAAGCACAAAGCAACTACAATATTGCGTGCATATCTTCCGTCAATTTTTCTTAACCTATTTAGGGACTTAGGAATATTCTTACCAAAGCTTCCTCCACCTTTCAGCTTAATTACTAAGATTCTAATCTTCTTTTTCAAGCTTCTAAAACTACTCTTGTTCCAAACTTGGTTTCCGAGAAACTACTAATACAATTTGCAAACCACTAATACAAACCACGTTTTTTTTTTTGTGTGTGTGTGTGTGTGAGAAAAACATGGGAAACACGTACTCTTATTCACACTACATTATCTTCCTGATTTTAACTTTTAATGTTCACACTATTATGTGACAATACATAATTAGTTTTTTTTTTTTTAATGACTTGATCAATTCACAAGTAGTCAAATATTGGAGGCCAGGCAACCCCCAACAGCTAGTGTTGGTCGAACATTTGGCTTGATAATCATAAGTTTCCAAATTTAACATTCCATGAGATTTGTCTATCGGCTTTCTTAGTTTGATGAGTCGATCAGCTATAAGCAAGCTAAGTCGATCGGTTACCTCCTTGTGATCCTTTGCTTAACTAACGAACTAAGATCACAAGACGTGTTTAATTTTACCCAAAGTTCTTTGGATAGCCGCGGTTGACTTTCCCGTAAATTAAAGTAGCCAAATATTAAAAAAGGGAAATTAAACAGCGAACATTTTTCATAAATTTAAAGACATTAACAAGTACAACTAAAAATGAGCATGGAACTGCGAAGTATTACACAGAAATATAGTTTACTTGGTGCACATTTAATTTTGAAACAATGAATGCGAATTTTCCCCGTGATTAAAAAAAAAACATGGAATTAGAATGATTAATTTGCTATTATAGGTAGAAACTTTACAGGAAACCAACTAATGTATTGATCCAGATTAAAATAATGAAGAAATTCAAGTGTTTATATATACATATATGCATCCTAACAGCATAAAACCGGTTCATCTGATCTTTTAATGCAGCTGACACCCAGTTTTAATTTGTTAGTTGTTTAATTTGCAGGTAGCTTTAATTTGATGAATTGGTCTCTTTCCACCTCCACCATGTTGCTCATAACAGCATCTGTAACCCTTGTTAAGAGTTCAGACCAATCCCTACAAACATGCATGCAAACAATTTCCCATATATAAGAATAATAATGAAATTAGAATTGGGAAGAATAATGAAATTAGAATGCATGTAATAACCTAACTAGAGCTTATAGTTAAACAATAAAACGATATATCGTTACTCAAATTTTAAAAAAAGAGCTAAGAGTTTATATCTCCATGGACTCGGCCCCCGTGGGCTCGGCCTCCATGGGCTTGGTCGAGTCCACGACCGGCCCCTTGGTTGAGCTCTGTGCTTGCCCGAGGAGTCGGGTCCTCGCGTGGAGCGAGTCTCGCTGCAGCAGGTGCGACTCTTCCTGCGTACCCAGGCCATTGACACAACTAGGGGTATAAAAACACTCCTCGGTGTCTTGTTCAGACATCTTCTGCCTTCTTACTATAATTGTCTTGTTGTTACATGTCCGGAACTTCTGTAATAGCACTATTATATACACTCAATTAATGCAATATCCGTCCCTGTGACGCTAATTCGTACATTATTTCTACCCCTATTATCGTTTTATTGTTTATTTATTATATTCACGTTTTATTGTTTATTTATTATATTCAATCATATATTCGGGTTGTATAATCCGGACCCCCGGGTTCAAATAATCCATCACTCCGATTGAACCCCTCTTTTGATAATGGGTATGGAGTAACTCTAGCCAAGTTGATTAGACTATTGACTTGATTTTTTTTTTTTAATGAGAGCGGTCTATTGACATTCTTGATTTGAACGAATCAGCTATGGACAATCTAGGTTGGTTTATCTCACCATCAAGGAGTGATTGCGCATTTCCTCATCACAACAAAAAAAAAAAAAAAAAAAAAAAAAAAAAAAAAAAAAAAAAAAAAACCGAAACAAAATGTACATGCAAGCTAGATAATTAAACATTTAAACAACTTACCCATTTATGGTATCAAAAGTGATTCCAACGGTGAACTTTGCCTCCTCAAGAGCCAGTCTGAATTTCTCCATCTCCTTATTATCTCCATAAACCCCAAAAACGTTGTCCTTAACTGCAAGCTCAGAGGGCTTTACGTCGCAAAAAACTGGAATCACCCTTTTATTGCTCTCCACCATGAGAGACAACTCATGTAGGCAAAAATACGACTCACAATACTGCGGCGAAAAGATGGCCACTCCAACCCGACAACCTCGTATCGCCGGCTCAATTTTCTCGAACAACTTGTCTCCGGGCTTCATGCTCTTGCTGTCCAAGAACGGCCGGAGCCGGTGCCTCCGGAGCCGGTCGTAAAGCATTCCGGCCACGTTCCGTTTTGTGTCGATCCCCCGGTGGTTAATGAACACGTCGCATGGCTGCAGGTCTCCCGTCGGCCGCCGGAAACGCCACCGGTACCGGAGAAGTTCGTTGCAGGCTTTCTTGGAAGAACGTTGCATGGCTGGCTAACCAAAAAAAAAAAAAGAAGGTTTTATTTTTCTTGAATATTTTATTCTAACTTTTCAACAGGAAATACATTTTATTAAAATTTTCTTTGATTGGATAGGAGTAGATGGCATCAAGATTACGCTACAAAATGGGTATTTATATAGCATGGGCCATGTGTTTTGGCGGTGGGTTTGAAATTTACTAAGAATCTTCCGGGAGTTTAGTATGCCATTGCTTATTATGGCAAATTATATTGTATACCCTGTGTATTATGTGTATTCTACTCTACAATTATATAGATACGAAATATAAAATTTTTAAAATTTTTTATGTCTGTTTAACAATTCAGATCCACCCAACTAATCTTGATTGCACTAATTCTCATTTGCTTTGGGAAGCTATGAAAGCTGGTCCAGGAAGAATCGTCAGTTTGTCACTCAATTGTATGTCTACCCTTTTAAAAGAATTAAAGTAATGTTTTAATTCAAAGGGTACCAACACTTAATTTGAAAGATAGTTAGTCTTGCATGTGTGAGATTAGACCGTCTTCATAAGATATAATACTTTTTTATGCGTGACAAGCAAAGTATTCTATTTTCATTAATAAATTGAAAGCAAATAATTATTCCGTAATACTTTTCAAACTTCAAAGTAATAAAAATGTATCATGACCCGGTTTGATATTACAGGGCGTTTGATTGAAGGAAATTTAAATTTCCTTCCCATTTAATTCTCACATAATTTTAAAGGCCACAAAATTTCCTTGTTTGGTTGAAAGGAATTGAAATTCCCCCATTTTCATGGAATTAAAATTTCATGTCCTCCCTGGAATTTTAATTTCTGAGATTTTAGAAAGAAAAAAAGATAGTGATGAGTCAAAATTACCCCTTTCTTTTTTAACCTAAAATTAATTCCTAACAACAACAATGGACATTTTTGACTTTATACTACTTATTTCCTTTCAATTCCCATGTATACCAAACATTGAAATTTAAATTCCCACTTTATTCCCAGTAATTCATCTCCCATGGAATTGCAATTCATTTCCCACGTAATTCCCCCTCTCCAACTAAACGCCCTATTATAGTTAGTTTATCAATCAATTTTAGTTTATTTGATCACTATTATTAGTTGTTTGACTTGGTTAAATATTCAATATAAGTGTTTGATTAATTAGCTTTTTGTAATAACTTATTGCTCCAAAAATGCTAAAATTCAAAAGCTACTCAAAGCAACTTTTTTGATCAGTTTTTTGAGAAAGTTATTTTGATGTAATTAGCTATCAGCTAACAATTAATTTACCAAACATCTTTCTACAATTAGTTAATGCTAACAACTATTCAAATCCACCAACCTAACTAACTAAAAACTAACAGCTAACAGTTATTTACCAACACATCTCATAAAAAAATATTACATTTTTGCTAAAAAGAATTATATATTTAAGATTCGTCTCACCTAATACGATCACCTGCAAACAAAAATTAATTTTAAAATAATTTTCTTATTAAAGTATAATAACGGTTAGACATACATGTAGCGACTTCAATACTACTTACCCATCTATTGTCAATAATTATCTATCTACTCATTTTAAAACATGGTCTAAAGATTATTTTCCAAAAAAAAAAAATTATGTTATATAAAGAAAATTCCAAATATATTCATCAGGTGTACACACAATAATATGTACAAAAGAAACAACCATGGAAAATTTAGTACATACGTAAATAATAGTGCACAAGTAGTCATACATTTCAAAAGCTTAGCAACTTTCTTTTGTATTATTTATAATCCTCTCCGTTGACATTGTATTATATATGCGCTTTATGGATTGAAGTTTTCTCATTAAAAACCGAACGGGACCGACTATTAGGGATAGCGTGTGACATAGTTGACATTGAGTCACTAATGTAAATTGCTTCGAACTGTGTTCGGGGACCGTCCACGCGCCGTTATTCCGTGGACTAGTTAGATGCTTCTTAGGTGGGTGGTGACATGCATTTTTGTTTTCTTCTTCTATATACTTAACTAGTATTTTACCTATATGATGTGTAAGAATAATTATGGTATGGTGAGGTTAATTGAGAAATTAGGACGAGAAATAATTATAAAAGTGTATATATAAAAAGTTATGATTAATTAAATTTGATATTATAGTTCTAAAAATTTTGATTATTATATTATACAATATAATGGAGTGTTTGGTAAATAATTGTTAGTTGTTAAAGTTGATTGGGTTAATGAGTTTGACTAGTAGATAGCATTAGTTAATTGCAGAAAGATGTTTGGTAAATTAGTTGGTAACTGATAGCTGATTACATGCAAAATGACTTTCTCAAAAAGCTGATTGAAAAAAAATAGTTTTTAGCATTTCAGAACAATAAGCTGTTACAAAAGGCTAATTAATCAAATATTTATATGGGTTGTTTAATCAAGTCAAACAGTTAATAGTTGTCAAATAAGTCAAAATTGACTGATAAGCTAAAAATTTTATCAAATAGGGCCAATGTTAGATGTTAAATTACATTGGGTCATTTGGGTGTTGTTATTACAAATCAAAATCTTCAAACTATTCGAGTTGATGACTTGTGAAACAACAACATACAATTATCTGTAAGGGATGAATATTGAATACTGGTATTTCTAAATGGGTATTGTTTTTCGATTTTGATATTTATATGTACAAGTGGACAGTGTTTTGAAAAAAAAAAAAATCAATTAATTAATATTATCTAATTTTATCTAATAAATCGTACTATAAAACTCATAAATACATTTAATTTAGAACACATAAAACATGATATGTGTGTGTACACACGTAAAAAATAAATTTATAACGACCATAAAACATGGTACTATAGGGAGTAGCTTTTAAGCATTTAATAATCATGATTAATTTTTTGTAATCTTATATAGACTAATTTTGCCACAGAAGTGACAACTTTGTGACCAAATGCAATAATTGAGAGATTAATAAGTACTATACGAAGGAAGCAATTGACATCCGAGTCCCATCCCTTTGGACAATCACTCTATGCTCCACACATTTATATTGTCCATTTATAATCACCTGTTAAGATAAATTTAAAGTTATATATTATTATTTTGATTTATCCAAACATTTAAATTTTAAATTATATAACTTTTAAAAATTATTAATTAACAAAATGGAGTGACAATAACCCTTTTCGTTTTTCTTTTCAGTGATTATTATTGCATTAAAATTTATAGCCAGTAACAATTAGGGATGTACAATTTTATTTTATTTTTATAATTATTTAATAGTTAACGTCACATTTTGATGACTGGATGTTGAATTTGACTTTCTAAGCTGGTTTAATTCGGTGTACATGGAACTATCAACTATGTGCTGCTTGTGAATTAATTAAGATTGTTGGTTTGGGGGGAATAAGAGCGACATTAACATCAAATTTCATATTTATTTACATGCGGATAAATCATTGGCAGCGGTAGCCTTGTTTGGCGCAATTGTAAATTCGTAATTTACTTATTGTTTTCAGTACGTACATTTATGTCACATTTTCAAATGTATGTAGTAGCCAAATGCAGTGTACCTTCTTGACATTTTTGCTTGGATTACGATATGTCTTGCCCTCTTCGTTTCCGCCAACCAAAAATTATCCCATTTGTTAAAACAAAAATAGTTTTAAAAGAGTATATGTGGTGGTTTTTAATGGATCACACCGGCCGATGTATCATAAAATGTGTAATTGAGAAAGATTACAATGAATAAAACGTTAACAAAGCCTTTCTGACTCGGCCTGGCCCTAAGCGATTGGCACTTCAAAAGGCGAAACTCTCGTCGTAGTTTGACGACCTATCTTCAGTAGGGGCCTTTAGTCTTTTGATTAGAGTAGAGGTCACGAGAGAGTAGATCGTACCGCCCTGCTATAGTCACAAGTCTGTTTATAATCGCGACTGCTGTCATAGTCAACAAGGTTGAAACTTCCAGAAAAAAACTTCGATTTGGGAGGGCGATCCTCCCAGTGAACTGACCGTACTCCAAACCGACACAGGTGAACAAGTAGAATATACTAGGGCGCTTGAGAGAACCATGTCGAAGGAACTCGACAAAATGACCCCGTATAAACCAGCCCCAGCCACACACCCACGCCATGGCGATGGGTGCCACGGTGGCGACCAACAACCTCGACGACGGCCTCCTCCACCCACTCTACAAGTCTACAACCAATCATTATTGTGTGGACCATAATTTAAGTACATTTTTAATATACTAAAAGTACATTATTTGTATACTTTAAAAACACATTATTTGAAGGTACATTATTTTAATACTAAAAATACATTATTATATATATATTATTTAATAATGTACCTTCAGTACACAAATAATGTACCTTTAATATATTAAAAATGTACTCTATATCCATGGTTCACACAAGTTGTGTAGACCATGGTCCGCCGTCTACAACCCATCTCCTTTTCCACCTACTTGCTCTTTGGTCCAAATAATTCCTCAATAATTTGTAAGTGTCCAATTTACACACCCAGCCCACTTAGACCCATGAATTGGTAATACATTGATTATATGGTACGAAGTATATATATACTTTCAATTTTGCTCCTAATAAATAAGAGTATCAAATATATATAAATATTTTGTTTAAAAGTCTGATTCAAACAATATTTTTTGTAACATGTTTTGTGGCAACTTTAAATTTTGTCCTAGACAAATCGTTTTTGCCATATAATAATCCAAACTATCAAAAATTGTATACACTTTTGGTTATTCTGATGACTTTTTTCATGTGAAAACTCTAGTTGTATTTTTTATTTTTTGAAACAACTGAAACCCTATTTTAGGCAAGGAAATTTTAGTTTCTTCAAATTTTTTGTCACGATTTTATGTGCCAGTTTTTGTTTTGTTTTGTTTTGTTTTGTTTTTCTTTCCGATTTTCGTCTCTTTAGTCTGGATTGCGCCATCTCCTTCACCTAGCTCTTGTCTTAATCTCTTTCAACTTGGTCCCAAATCGTCCTTCGTCAATGGAGATACCGAGTATGTGAGAACCTCGGGGTGCGAGAGAATCATTTTGCAACGCAATTGGAAAGCTCACAAATCACAATAATATCGCCACCCGGTCGACTTCAGTATGACAGCTATTATTTTAGTCCAGAATTTTGTGATTCATCTACTATAGTTGTACATCAACAAAAAAAGGAGGGCCGGTGGGAGGGGGTGGTGGTGAGAAGCATGTTCTTTGTCATTGGAAAATACATTTCCTAAAATAGAGTTTCATCTTAAAAAAGTCATCAGAAGAACCAAATTAAAAGTGTCTAAAATTTGATAGTCTGGGTGCTAAATGACAAAAATGATTGTATGAGACTAAATTTAGAAACGTCACCAAAGACAAGGGACCTCCGCTGGATTTAACTCATTAAAAAATAATTTTAAAAAAAATTGAAGAGACGAAAGTACATTTGCCTAAAATAGGGTTTCACCAGAAAAAGTCATTGGAATGACCAAAAGTGTTCAAAATATGATAGTTTGGGGTGTAAAACGAAAAAAACGATAGTCTAAGACTAAATTTGAAATTGTTACAAAAAACAATGGACCTTTGCTGGAATTAACTCTATTTGATAACTTGTATTTAATTAATTCTTAGCCGAGGGCGCGGAAAGAGTAATAGTTGAGCAACAGGAAATTAGAACAATTTTTTTTTTTTTTAAATATGTTTTCTGTTTATAATCACTCTTTCCTTTCGGTTCTTGGTTCTTAATTAGTTAATTGTCTAATTAAACAATTAATCAAGTGTGGTAAGTAGATACTATCCAACTTGAGTAACCCTAAATATTAGTGTTTTTTTTTAAAGTAAATATTAGTGTACTGTTATATATCTACAACTAGCCTAGCAATTGGGGTCTACATAGATATGATAACATTACGTTATATATAGCTGTATCATGGTTGGCTACAAATTTCGGCTAAATTATTATGAGAAATGTCACTTTCTATGAATGCAACTCAGTAAACATGAGCATAAATATCATTTTCTTCAAAGACTACATGACAAAAGAGAAAAGCACTAAAAATGAATAAATAAATAAAACCAAAAAAAAAAAAAAAAAAAAAGGAAAAGTGAAACACTTGAAGATATCTTTTATATCATGCCAGCTATAGATTAAGAAAAGGACTTTAATTAATTGCTAAATTGTAAAAGACAAAAATAAAATAAAAAATTTCACTAAAAGATTAAAGCTAGGTTGAGCTACTATACATACAAGCTAAGATACATTTTTATTTCTTTTTGGGTGATGCAAGAAAGCCGAAAATACTATATTATGGGTGTGTGCATTTCATATATATATATATATATATATATATATATATATATATATATATATATATATATATATATATATATATATATAATTTATTTATTTATTTATTTATTTATTTATTTTTATTTATATTTATATTATGGGTGTATGCATTAAGGCTGTGTTTGAAAACCCGAAAAATGATTTTTGAAAATTATTTTCTGGGTTTTTGGTGTTTGGCTACACCTGAAAAATTCAGTCAACGGAAAACATTTTCCGTTGACTGGGGAAAATGTGCTCAATTTGGCGGAAAATGACTTCCGCCATTGCTATTTTTTTTTTAATTTTTTTTAAGTTTCTGGCGGAACCATAATTTTATTTTTTTATTTTTAGTTTTAAAGATTTAAAATGTATTTTTATTCTAAATAAAATATTTAATTATACCATTCTACTCATTTCTCAGAAAATGAACCAAATACACCAAAACAGTTTTCCAAATGCAACCAAACACTGGAAAAGGAAAATGTTTTTCGGAAAATGACTCATTTTTCAGAAGTCATTTTCCTGCTTTCCAAACGGACCCTAAGTAAACCTCAATCCTATGTAATAGCGCACAAACCACATATGAACTAGGAAAATCTCGTGCCACGGGTTTGACCAATAAACTATTGGCAAGAATCAAACTCATAATTTTCAAATACATACTTATGTTTCATCTACTTTACTAAATTAAGTATTAATTAATTACACATTATCTCAATTTTTGATAAAAAATTTTAAAAAGTTTTGGTTGATTAATTCAATAGCTTGTGACAATTGGTGAGCAAATCGCTAATGTAATTGCAATATCATAAGATAAACCCTCGAGTAAGAATTAAATTATGTTAAGGCAATCTGGACCGAATTCGAATATGAAATGATATATAGAAAAAAAAAACGTTTCAGTTGTTTAAATTATATTCTTATTATTAAAAAGAAGAAAAATATATATGTAAAAATTATACGCTTGCAGGAGTAAAATCAAATAAAAAACCAACTCTCCCATTTATTTAAAATCATTTCAAAGATTTTTAGGTATGTAATAAACTAATAACCTTCATAAAATCTACAAATGAGTATGCTCTGATATAATGTTAAAGTTAAAAAGTTGTGTTTTGTCATTAGGGCAGGTGAAGTGATTGGCCTAGTGTACTTTACTCGGATATTTAATATATTAACAATGAAGTAAATTTTTTAGATTACGTATTCTAGCTAATTATTAACATTTCTGTAGCTCTCTTTGAATGAAGGTCACATGATCGAACCCTAACAATAAGATATTGACTATTTAGTCTACAACTGATAGAAAAAGTATATTGAACAGATACTACATTGTAATAGAGTTTATAGTACTAAAAAAAAAACATTACTCTAATAATTACTACAAATAAACCTTTTACATAATTGTACGTAAGCAAAAGTAAAATGTTAAAATCTACTCCATAATATTATTTGTGTATAATTTTCAATATATCTTTTACTGTGAGATCGATCTAAATTCGATCCAAGACACACTCACATAATTTAAGTTGATTCTTACTTGGAGAAAATCACGATTCAAATTTTTTAACATGACGCATCATTTATAAAAATTATATATATATGTTTGAGCACTTATATAATTTATGAAATATTATAAATATATTATTCATTTTATTTTAAGAATATAATGTTTTGACACTAAAACTTTTCCTAAAGTTTAATTTGACAAAAGCTCTAGTACCAAATCTTCATTAGATTTTTAGCCTGTTGTTGTAGACTTGTAGGGCAGAAGAGTTGACTTTTCGTAGTTAACATTTTTGAAATTGACTTGAAGCCCTCCAAGAAGAAAATCCAAATAATAATAATAAAACATGTGAATAAAGAGATGATTTCATCTTGATACATATTTAATTAAAGGAATGAATTTTAATTTGTACAATTTAATACTAATAATAACTTTTTATAAACGGACACATTTTATAATAAATTATCAAATAAATTACAAGATTTACGTATTTAAAAATTAATATAAGTATATTTTTTTTGTGTGATGAGAGAAATACATAGTTATTACCTGAGGATATGTACTAGGTAAATCACATTAGGAATACTTCATACAGAATGTTGTTAAGAATCAAACTCGTGGATAATTGTTTTCAAAAGGTTGAATCCCCAATCCCAAGGGCCTTCTGGCCGGCCTGACCGTGCATTTGAGAGAATATAAATCATGGTAACTCAGTTGAACACAACCCACAATTTGAGATGTTATTTTCACATTGTAACTGATGGACTCGATCCGATCTGAAGTTATTGTTCTTAAACTTCACCCCTGTGATCAATTGAGCTGTCCATGCGGGCTCGAACTCGTGGAAAATTGTTGATGGATGTGGAGGTCTCATGATCATAACTTTGTGTTGTTCCTATCTTTGACGATAAGCAAGGCACTGTTTCACCTGTTTGCTTTCTTTTACTTTCCTTTTATCTTCCACATATTGGAAGTGATCTGATAAGAGAAAACGAATTATTCTTCTTTTTTTTTTTTCTTTATTCAACATTTTTAATATTGCCAGTGTCAGTAGTGAATCGTTTCACTTTACTCACTCCTTAAAAAACAATACTTGTAAATGTTGAGTAAAAAAAATAAATAATGTAATAGTATTTTATGTTTAAAAATAACAATTTATATATATATATTTTTTTTATTACAAAGGAAGGGAATACCAATACAAACTATACCTACAACAAAGCTTGAAACCTAAACCTCCCACATAAAGGAGCAATCTGATACCAGTGGACCACAAGCCACAATCAATATAAATAACAATTTATATTGATTTTGTATATATTCATCGTACAAAATATATTTAGATGGTGCATTTTGAAAACATTACATGTTTATCACTCAAAAAAAAAAAAAAAAAAAAAAACTCATTTTACATCTCCATCCCTATTTAGAGTGGATTCATCTTAATTAGTGAATTCTCTAATTCTTTTTAAAGGGATTTATACTTTGTTAGACTACGAGGTATTTTAAGTAAACCCTAATTGTAGAAGACTTCTTTAAGCCTATACTATACTTAGATTAATCTCCATTCGTACCAGATCGACTCAATTAAAGGGCAAAGTGTTGACCATATATATAATATATCAATTAAATATACAACATAGAGCGCATATATATTTAAATAAATGCTAAGACTTTGATTGTATTGGGTACAATAAAAAGCGAATGCATAAGCCGAGAAGGAGATGGAAGGGATAAGTCAATTAATTGAAATTCCAAATATATTGGGATTAGGGTGCATGTGTCATTTCAAATTTACCCCTAAAATTAAAGATTCTATTATCGTCGAAAATAGACTCATAAATTATTATTATTATTTTTTTTTGGTGAGGATAGACCCATAAATTATGAAAAGTAATTCTAAAAATTTGTATTTTAAATCCTTGATCTATATGTTGTAATAATTTTGATATGTACACGCAAACTCATGAAAACACGTGGATACATTTGAACATTAACTTTCACACACATATATAAGTTGTTAATGCATTCAAGACATCATCAAATGCGTAGAGTTTTCATTGGAAGAGTAATAAAAGATCCCAATCCCACAACGAAAGTGTGCAAAACTTCAGCAGCCGACAGCATCAGCTCAATTAGTGAGCAGTAGAAAATATTATAGCGATGTAGACTTCCCAACTAATCTAATCCTCCAGGCTCCAGCTAATCCACAACGCAATCACTACTAAATTAAACAATAAATTATGTATTAATCCCTAATCATAACACATGTGATCCAATATTTTAAAAAACCCATATAAATAATTCAATTAATTCATGAGTGATAGATTGCAGACAAGAATGCATAATTGAATGTTAATTCATAGGTCATAAATTATGAGTTGATATAGTATATACGAATGAGGTGTACAGTCTTAGGTTGGTTCTAGGCTCCGATCATGTACCTAGTATGTTTGTTGGTTTAAGTCCTTCGGCTCAATTCACGTAACGACGGGTCAGAGGTTCCGAGCTAAAAATCAAGTAGTATGAAATATCGAAAGTCCCCTCCCTTAGCAATAAATGCGGTATTTATAGTTGTAGCAGGTAGGGAACACTACACGTTCCGGTCTTGCAGCATGAATGGCACATGGAGCCCATGCATAGGCTCATATCAGGGACCCAAGAGGGTTTACACACGTGCCGTAGTGTTTCTGCCGGTCAGTGCCACATTGTCGGGCTCCAGGTCGATAGTTAGCCCCCGACCTGAGTAGGTTGGGGGTGCGCCGAGGCCATGAACCCGCGGGTGCGATAATGGTAATGCTCGGTAATCCACACTATCGGGGTGAAGTAGGGGTATGATCGGTTAAGGTCAGATCACATTTGTCTCAGATAAAGGACCCGATACCGACCATGGTAGACGTAAAATCAAACATTGATAAGTACAGTATTTAATGCTCTCACCAAAAGGATCAGCCGCTGAATTATTATGATTTACTTATTCTCTTCATAATCTTATTGCCAGGGTGTAGAACCCTTCAAGAATTTTGCATTTGATTGGCAAAGAAAACAATTACTCCGTAATATTTAAAGAACCAGTATAATATTGTAAAGTACCATGAAAAGCAGTACAATATTGTAATTTGTAAAGTACCATGAAAATTGTGATACAAGAGAGAGATGTGGTGAGGTTAGATATAAGGAAATAATTGAGGGAGAAAAGGTATTGGGGGGTGGGGGGGGGGGGGGGTGCTCGAACAACAAGTGCAGATGGGACCCCACAGCGATGGCTTGTTGAAGAGAAATGCTCATAATCACAACTCACGAGTACCTCTCTCTCACATGTGCAAGCTCCCCAATCTTCATCACTTCTTGCTGGCTACCTCCCTCTCTTTGATATTTCCAGGTCACCTCTAAAAAGAAAGAAAAAAGGTTTCTGGAAATGTGAGTATCACGTTCTGGGAACACCAATATTAACTTCTTCCCCACACCCATTTCGCCGTTTCTCCGGTCCCAAGCCGTAGACTTCTTCTTCTTCTTTTTCCCAGATGGATTCCAGTGCCCTTCTTGACTATGCTCTGTTGAAGCTCACTCCAACCAGGACAAGGTGAGTCTTCTTCACTTCTTCTGATCTCTTTGTGTGAGTATTTGCAGTGCAACTGACAAAGTTATGGTTTTTGGCGTTTTGGGATTGTTGGAAAATGATAAAGATGCGATCTTGTGGTGGTTTCTGGGGGGAAAACTGAGAAGTTGGCTTCTGGGTTGGTGGAGCCTTTCATTGCTCACTTGAAGTTTGCTAAAGATCAGATTCCCAAAGGTGGGTATTCAATAGCCCTGCGCCCACCCTCCTCTGCAGCCTCCTGGTTCACTAAAGCCACATTTCAAAGGTAATCTTCACAAATCTTGGCTCCCCAGGTTTAAATTGTTGTTGTACTATGATGTTTGTTCTCTGTGTTTGAATGGTAATTTATAGGCATTTCTTGTTAGTTTTATGCTGTCTAAAGTACTGGCCTTTTGAGTTTTGAGGCCATTGACTCATAAGCTAAGTTAATAAATGGATCTGAGTTACTATACAAAGTTTGGATTGATTGAAGTGAAGGTTGTGCTAGTCAGTCTTATTGGTGTGTTTTAATTTGTGCCCAGATTTGTACGCTTTGTTAGTACGCCTGAGATTCTTGAGAGATTTATGCGATTAGAGAAAGAGATTTTGCAGATTGAGAGCTCCATTGAATCCAACACCATTTCAAAATCAAGTTCAGATGAAGGTATGTTAAGTGTTAACTGTTATGCCACTTGGAATAAGTTGACTTCTCCTAGGATATGTGTTCGAGCTCAAGTTAGTTCCTAGATAGATTCCCACGTTCTCTCAACTTGTATTGTTGTATTATTAGCGTTAATTGTTTATCTTTGCAGGGACGCCACCGGCTAAGTCAAAAGGTGAAGTTGATGGAGATGAAAGTACTGCAGCAAAGGAAAACTCGAAGTAAGTGTGGTCTTACTTGAATTAACTGGTTCGTTGATGATATATAATCTCTGGTATCTCGTCATTAAGTTACTGTGTTGTAAAGGTTTCGCCTCCAATGTCTTTTGGACACTCGTAAAGCATTGCTCAGGAAAGAGCAAGCGATGGCTTATGCTCGTGCCACAGTAGCGGGATTTGAAGTGGAGCAGATGGATGATCTCATATGCTTCGCTAATGCTTTTGGTGCCTCGCGTCTAAGGTATAATAGTGGAATCGGGAAGTGTATTTTTGGCGGCTTACATTTAAATGTCTCTATTTCTCTAAGCCCTTTTGATGCCGATCCATAATATAGGGAGGCGTGCATTGATTTCGTGGAGCTTTACAAGCAAAAACACACCGATTGCCAATGGATGGATGAGGTAACAGCAATGAAGGCGTGCTCCCCAGCAGAGCTCTCGTTTCTGGGGAATTCAGGGGTTGTATTAGCTTGTGATAACGGTAACGGGTCACTTGTGCGCACTAGCTCCTTGGATACCTCGTCTGATTCAAAGGAAAGCCAGCTCGACGGGGTTGGAGGTTCGTATTTTTATTCCCTTTTCATATTCACTAGTGGAAACTTTCTAGACGTAATGGTGTCATCATGCCGGGCTTCCCGTTCCATTTTGGTACACTTAAACCTATTCCTGTTACGAAAGTAATAAGAGAGTTTCTGAATGTGCTGTCGTATACTGTCTTATAGAAAAGAGAATACAAAGCCCTATAAATAAGTGCTAGAAGACTACGAATAGGAAACACGTTTCCATATGTCTTACCTACCTAAATCCCTAAGACTGCCTAATCTATAGAGATTCCATAACACTTTCTAGTTCCCAGACTCGGATTTTGCTAGCATAAGCTGCAAGGGACGGTGTTAATGTCCTAAAGTATCACCAAACATAGACATTTTATCTCCGGCGGAAATTTTGTTCTCTGCTGATTTATAACTACTTGCAGATAATACGAAAGCTCAGATGCAGATGCCATGGCCAAATCAAATGCCACCTTATATGTACAATTTCCCGGGCCCTGTTCCACCGATGTCTTTCCCTGGTATGCATCATGTACCGCCATATTATCCAGGGCATATGCACTGGGCGCAAACTGTGGATGATGCAACTAATGGTCTTGCACGAGAGAATAGTCGTAAACATCATCACAAGTCGTCGAGGAAAAAGGAAAAGGTTTCTCATTCAGACGCTCCTGAAAGTTCAGAAGATGAAAACATTACATTGACCAACTCGGATTCCGAAACGGATTCAGATGAATCGGGGAAGGATGAAAAAGAGCATTTGTCAAGGCAGCAGACGCATGGTAGGAAGCACAAGAAGAAATCCTCGAAAACAGTTGTCATCCGTAATATCAACTATATTACCTCGAAGCGGAGGGATGGTGGATTTGATGACTCTTCTTCACTCGAAACCACGTCGCTCGATGAGGATTCTATCAAGCAGCAGGTGGATGATGCAATATCGGTATTAGAACAAGGCCACAACAAAAAGACGCATAAACACAGCAATAGAGGACATCAGGATTCCAAACCTCAGAATGGACCGAATGGTGGTTTCGAAAACTGGGATGCTTTCCAAAACATTCTGATGAGTCGGGAAGACGAGGAGAAGCAAACTGTATCCTTCAACGGTGAAGACTGTATGATTAAAAATTCTGATGACGGAGTCACAAATGGCCATGCTGTTAACTTGGAATCTGAGAAAGTTAAGAGGAAACATTTGCTTTCTGATGATTCTGTTATTGTGACAGAAAGAAACGGAGCACATACCGGGGATGCTGGCACAATTGATTTTGCAAATGGCGAGGATATCCGTCCCGGTATGAAAAGACGGGAGTCTGAGAATGTGCAGTTTTTGTTGCCTCAAACTAGGGAAGGATCAGGCAGCACTACTCTCGGAACTGCATCTGACTTTGCTGTGGAATCATGCACCATCAGAAACAAGAGTGGCGATGATTGGTTCGTTGCCAATAAGCCCGGGAATTTTGAAAGACAAGGGGCTAAAGATATGATATTTGAAAACGGAGACAGCTTAAGTGATAGAGAAGCTAATAAAAGAGCTACTGCAATTGATGATTCTTTCATAATACAATCCCGATCAATGTCAGATGACCAATGCAGTTCTCAGTGGAAAACCGACATTAACATGGATGCAGACTTCATTACAGCAGCACAGCCTGAAAATAGTGATCCCGTTGTTTCGCAAACCAAGCCTAGTAGCGGTGAACCTAATGATCTGTGTGTAGTGCTTGCACGGGATCCCAGTATGGAGTCTGCCGAGGTGTCTTGGATGCCAGAATTGGATTATGAGATGGAAGCTTCTTTTGCGGGGATCAATAAAAGCTCCCCTGCTACTGAAGAAAGTTCTCCCGTTAAGGGTGTCAAGAAAAGTAATAAGAAGGATATGAGTCCTTCAACAAAGACGCCAGCAAAGGATACAAAGTCTAAGTTATCTCCAGGATACCTCTCAAGAAGTAGGATTGACGCTTTATCAAAAAGCAAGAAGATGTCTCCGACAAATAAGCTGGGAGTCCAAAAGAGCAAATTAGAAAGGGTAAGACTAATACATCTTGATATTGAGTTTTTATATATCTTTTTTGGACCAAATTTGTTTATTTATGCTTGCCTTATACAGGAGGAAGAAGCTCGTAAAAGGATGGAAGAGCTGGCGCTTGAAAGGCAGAAAAGAATTGCCGAAAGGACTGCTGCCAGTGGTCTTACCCCATCGCCATCCAAAAAAGTCCTAGCCGGCAGTAAAACAGCTTCTCCGAAGCTGGAAAAGCACAGGGTTCAACCTAGTAACTCCCGCGTCAAAGCATCCTAGACCTCCTACTGAGAATGTAAAGATCGAAACTTCCTGAGATTTGGCTAAACATGGACACGAAACACTTCTCCTATGATCCTAAATCCCAGAAATTCTTCCTCTTCATTGAATGCCCATCAACGTGTGCTTGTTCCTGCAAAAACATTCTCACCAAGTCCCGTCATTGTAAGTTGTTTCCAGTCCTCTTTTTTGTTGGTTGAGCCAAGATTTGCACTGCCAGTTTACCCATTCTTACAATGTAAATCTATGAATGTAAAGTTGTTGGTCCAATAATACATGTAATGATTATTCTTGTTTCCATATCTAGAAGGATATGATAAGCTTTGGATATTACCAGGCAATTTATTTGTGTTATTGCAGGCTTCCTTAGCAGCCTGATTGTTATTTATTTATTTATAATAAAATGTGTGAAACATTTTGTATATTTGTTAGACTTAAAGAAATATGAATTGTTTTTTGCTATTTTATTTTTCTTTTGAGTTGTTTCTTACTGTTCACTACAAGAATTTTCTATTCAATCCCATCCTGCTGGCAAGTTATACAGAATGTAGCTCAAACTTTCAAAATTGTTTCTTGCTTGGTTGCTGATGAGTTTATTCTGCTTTTAGTTCTCGATTATAGAAACACATCAATTTTTATTTTTGCTTTTGATTTGTTCCATCTTAGTCCTTATTTTTTAAAAAAAACATTGGGAATTTTTGGTAAATAACTATTAGCTGATTGGGTTAGCGAGTTTAATTAATTGATAGCATTAGCTGATTGTAGAAAGATGTTTGGTAAATTAGTTGTTAGTTAATAACGATTACATGCAAAATAACTTTCTCCAAAAGTTGATCGAAAAAATTATTTTGGAGCAACTTTTTAAATTTTAGCATTTTGAAACAATAAGTTGTTACAAAAAGTTAATTAATTTAACACTTATATTAATTTTTTAATTAAATCAAACAGTTAAAAATGGTCAAATAAATTAAAATTAACTGATAAGCTAACTATGTTACAAGTCTATTGCATTTTAGAGTTACTTTGTACCAAAAAGTGTTGGCTCATGAGGTGGCTTTGAAACATTTGTGTCGTGAACTGAAAATGAAATAAATCAAAGTTTAGAAAACAAAAATAAAAACATCCCATAAATAGGGTCCACATAAAAATAAAGTCGATTCACTCGATTGTGAATTAATTGAGGAAAAATGAAAAGAAAAAAACTCCCAGTTTCTGCGTGATTGGAAAATGAAAACAATATGGCATTAGAAGTTCCCAGGATTCTAATATTAGATTGGTCTAACCACAGAATTTGGCTTACCATACCAAATATAGAGTGAGAGTTTGTCTTTAAACAAAGCAAAATTTTAAAAAATTAATCATTCTTACAGATATAGAGTTTTTTTTTTTTTTTTACCCAAAAAGAAATATTTCTCATCCCAATTCCACTTTCTTTTTCCTCTCTTTTGAAAACGAAGGAGAAAAGAGGTATCCATGTATGCTTTCCAAAGCCAGACCCAGACCTAGACAACAGCATCAACAACAATAACAATACGTTATGGAAGAAGAATCTTCATTTCTTTTCTTTTTATCAAGAATTTCCCCTTTGAATTTGAATATTCTCCGACATTATAATCAAAACATTAATCCATCCAAAATGTTCTTTACCATTATCATAATCTTTCTCTTGTCTTCAATCTTCCGTTTCTTGCGTCGTCATGGTCTGAGTTGCCTGAACCCAAGAAAGTTTATTGCCAGCAAAAAGTTAAACTATTATATTGATTATTTTACCATGCAACTTGGTGGCTGGCTATGCAAAAGCTTTTTCAGATTGGAGATGGCAATTGGAGCATGCCATGGTGTTTCTCCTTTCTCTTTCCGCAGGAAGAAGTTTTCTGCATTAATGGAGGTATTACATTTTTCCTTAACACAATGCATATTCATGAATGAAAATCGCGTCTATAGGCTGGAAATCTGTATCCATGCATGCTAATCAAATATACAAATTGCAAGGCAATGATGATCTTATGAATGCAGCTATTGCAAATTTGTAAGTTTTTGTGAAGGTGTAAATGTAGTGTGGGTGATGTGTTTTTTGACAGGAAAAAGAAACGTTGGAAGAGGAAAGTGAGATGAATATTGAACCAAATAGTAGTAGTGAGGAAATAGATAGTGCAGCAAATATTATAAAAGAAACGAAAGGTACCACTGAGCGCAAGCCGTGTGGGTTGGCAAGCAACTTCATGGTCATGACAGAACTTAGGAACAAGACGCTCACCTTGAGGGACCTGCTCGATTTGTCTCCCTGCATTGGCTCTGCATCTGTAAATGAGGTAGTACTCTCTATCTGATTGCTTCACATTCGTAAGTTGAACTCTTGTTTCTGATTAACTTCTGGGTTCTAATCTGGTTTTTTGGACTGGAGATTGTCCACAGCTGTTGGTATTGACTCTGAAGGATCTGCACGCGCTCTATCCTTCCCTCGAGCAGATTGATGTGTCTGAAATAGGAGCAAGCATGGATCAGGTTTCGTAACTTTCTAAACAGTTTTAAGCAACAGAAACTGATATGCAGTACTAAAGTGGAAAGTCCTTTTGTGGTTACAGCTACTGAATTCCTTCTGCAGTGCTCTAGAATCAATTGGTGAAATGTGGACTGGAAATGACGAATGGATGATCAAATGCGAAGATGATTTGTTCAACTTTGAATCCAACAATTTTGAGCACTATGGTAACTTGCAGCCCTTCTCCGGGACTAAGTTGGAGACTTTTTTTTTTTTTTTTTTTTTTGGATTGATAATAAGATTCTTACAAATTTCTTGCAGCACTGGCAATGCTGGAAGACATGATTCAGCTAACAAGTAAAAGGATGTTTGAAGATGAGCAGATGGTTGATAGTCCAAATGCATTTGGCAGGCTTTGGTCTGAGCCTTGCTCTCCAGTAACCCCAACTTCTGTCCTTTCTGGATTCTGCAATGTTCCAAAAAGGAGTAAAAGGGATTGTTTTTCTACACCAGTTAAATTACCACTCAAAGTAGGACCAGTTGGAAAACTTAACCCTGTTGATGTCCGGCACGTCTCATTACATATGTTCTCTCATGTAATGGTTCAAGATCCTAATTATATGGTTCAGGTAACAAATACAGTCAGCCCATTGAGGGAACAACAGCCGGGGACTGAAGAAAAGCATGAGTCTCAAGTAAACATAGCAGATGGCAGATGTGAGGTGAAAGAAGGCCATGTGGTAGACTCACCTAAGGTTCTAATTGCTAAATTGGAAGAGAGTAAAGAAGATGATAATAGAGATTGGATTGATGGTTCAATTATTCAATTGGTGCCAGCTTGTATCACCATGGATATGCTTTTACAAACATCTTCTCTCACAAAGCTGCAACCTGATGCAGCAAAACAGGAACTGCCATTTGCATTATCGTCGGATGGGGTAGAACTGCGAATATCAACACCATCACAACCATTAACATCACCCCCAAAATTGCAATCAAATCTTAAACCAGGAATAGCAGCATCACCTCCACCCCCACCCCTACCATCAATGGCACCGAAATTTTTTGTGTTGCTTCCTCCTCCTCCCCCTCCACCTGATCCATCAACAGAGCCAAGGGACAGTGTTGTGCAGCTACTTCCTCGTCTACCACCACCCCAACCATCGATATCACCAAGAGACAGTGTTGTGCAGCTTCAGCCTCCTCCTCCCCCATCCCAACCATCAATGACACCAAAAATTTTTGTGCTGCTTCCTCCTCCTCCCCCTCCACCCGATCCATCAACAGAGCCAAGGGACAGTGTTGTGCAGCTTCTTCCTCCTCCACCACCACCCCAACCATCAATATCACCAAGAGACAATGTTGTGCAGCTTCAACCTCCTCCTCCCCCACCCCTACCATCAATGCCACCGAAATTTTTTGTGTTGCTTCCTCCTCCTCCCCCTCCACCTGATCCATCAACTGAGCCAAGAGACAGTGTTGTGCAGCTTCTTCCTTCTCCACCACCACCCCAACCATCAATATCACCAAGAGAAAGTGTTGTGCAGCTTCAGCCTCCTCCCCCATCACCCCAACCATCAATAGCACCAAGAGACAGTCCTGTGCAGATTCATCCTCCTCCAGCTCCACCCCAACCATCAATAGAACCAAGAGACAGTGTTGTGCAGCTTCCTCTTCCTCCTCCTCCTCCCCCTCCCCCTCCACCCCAACCATCAATAGAACCAAGAGACGGCATTATGCAGATTTCTCATCTTCCTCCCTTTCCACCCCAACCATCAATAGAACCAAGAGATAGTGTTGTGCAGATTCCTCTTCCCACTCCACCCCAACCATCAATAGGACCAAAAGACAGTGTTCTGCAACTTCCCCCTCCTCCACCTCCACCCCCTCCCCAACCATCAACAGCACCAAGACACAGTGATGTGTTGCTTCATCCTCCCCCACCATACCCAACCCAACCAATAATAGCACCAAGTCATAATGTTGCTTTGCTTCCCCTGCCCCCCACTCCACCACCAGCACTCCAACCATTATTAGAGTCAAAAGACAATCTTGTGCTTCCATCTTCCCCTCCACCTCCTCCATTGACATTGGAAAATATAGCAAGTTCACCCCCACCTCCACCTCCTCCCATGACATCAAGAAGCATAGTGTCAAATCCACCTCCAATAGAATCAGAAATTGTAGCAGCAACACAACTGCCACCTCCCACAACATCAAGAAACAGTCTACCCCATCCACCATCAACTGCTGCATCATGTGATTTAGTATCTTTTCCTCCTCCTATGGGATTAAGAGGTATGGGGACACCACCACCTCCAGCTCCACCCATGACTTCAAATGGAACAGCACCACCTCCAGCTCCACCGCCCATTATTTCAAATGGAATAGCACCACCTCCAGCTCCACCGCCCATTACTTCAAATGGAATAGCACCGCCTCCAGCTCCACCGCCCATTACTTCAAATGGAGCAGCACCGCCTCCAACTCCACCGCCCATTACTTCAAATGGAGCATCACCACCTCTACCTCCACCACCCATTACTTCAAATGGAGCATCACCACCTCCACCTCCACCACCCATTACTTCAAATGGAGCATCACCACCTCCACCTCCACCACCCATTACTTCAAATGGAACAGCACCACCTCCACCTCCACCCATGTCTTCAAATGGAACAGCACCAGTACCGCCTCCACCCATGTCAATAGGAAAAGGAGTTGCATGTCCACCACCTCCAGCATTGGCTGGTGGCATAAATCTACGCACCAAGAAAACTTCTAAGTTGAAGCGATCTTCACATATAGGTAATCTTTACCGGCTTCTCAAGGTAAAAGTGGAAGGATCAAGTTTAAATGGTAAATCAGCGAGAAAGGGAAAAGTTGGTGCTGCTTCATCAGGAGGTAAGCAAGGAATGGCTGATGCACTAGCAGAGATGACAAAAAGGTAAAACACTAACAGATGTCCAACAATCCTTCTACAAGAGATCTCACTTAGTTTCCAATTGCATCATTGTTGTCTATAATCTTTCTAAATTTATTTCTCAGGTCAACCTATTTCCTACAAATTGAAGAGGATGTTAAAAATCATGCAAGTGCAATCAAGGAGATGAAAACAGCAATTGCTACTTTCCAAACATCAGACATGTCTGAGCTCATTAAGTTCCATAAACATGTGGAATCACATCTTGAAAAACTAAGTGATGAATCTCAGGTCTATTCCTATTAAAACCATTCTTAAACCACTCCCACTCTTAAAACCATTTATGATTTAGTAGTTTTAAATTCTTCATGGTGCAGGTGTTGGCAAGATTTGAAGACTTTCCATCAAAAAAGTTGGAAGCATTGAGGATGGCAGCAACACTCTATTCCAAGTTAGATGATATAGCTTCTACTTTAAAGAATTGGCCAATAGCATCGCCTTTTGGCCAGCTTATTGACAAAGCTGAGTGTTATATCAGCAAGGTAAGCCCAATTCATAAACAGCATAATAAGGCGCCTTTATTTGTTTAGACTTTAGACTGATATCTCTTTTGTGTAGATCAAAGGAGATTTGGAGAAGATAGAACAGACTAAAGATGACGAGGCAAAGAAATTCGCGAGTCACAAAATTACTTTTGATTTTTCCATCCTTGTACGCATCAAAGAGTTGATGGTGGATGTGTCCTCAAACTGTATGGAGTTGGCACTTAAGGTTAGTTCGGCCACACAGCATCCAGGGCTATAAGCACTATAGTAAAACCTTAGTTATCTAACTAAGGAACACATTTAAACACTTTTTGGGATATTGATTCAGGAGTGGAGAGATGCAAAGACAAGAGAGAAAGAACCAGGCGGACAGTCAAACAATAATGAGCGCAAAAAGGGATCTGCTGGTAAAATGCTTTGGAAGGCCTTCCAATTTGCATACAGAGTTTACACCTTTGCTGGGGGACTAGATGACCGCGCTGACAGGTTGACAAAAGAACTCGCTCATGAGATAGAGACAGAGCCTAATCCTTGAACATAATGTCTTAATCTTGCAAGTGCTTCTCAAGGTTGTGATAGTACATACATGTACTATGAGTCAATTATCACACACTGTATACCATGTATATTGTTCACGAAAACACACGGGGCAACTAAGGAAAACTCTAGCTTTGGAGTTATCAGTCACAGTCTCATTTCATCAATAACTCAGCTAGTCCTATTGAGTTTCTAAAATTTGTCTGTTCCATGTTGATCATACACCATACAAATACATAGCAACAATATCAAACTACTTTGACTATTGTTCAGTGTACTGGATGTGGATAGTTACAGCCCTACGGGCGGTTAATTCAACTTTGCACTACAGTATACAGAAACCATTAGAAACACAGAACTTCACTTTCAATAGCATTCATAAACAACACAGAAGGTCAGAAGCTATAAAATATATACAAATTCTTTGAGACAAACTAACAAACACCTGATTCGCAATTATAAATCGTACCTGAAGGTCAAGGATTGTTGTTTGATCTGGATAGATGGAGCCTCCACACTCCTGAGTGAGCTCTGAAGTGAACGTGGGAAATAATGGGACTAAGAGACGCCATCCCAATAATAAGCTGGAAGTAAAATAAAAATAAAAAAAATAAAAAAAAAGGAGAACGACGTCGTCGGACGAAGTTAGTTGAGTAATTGAAGAGTTGTTCCACGTTACGAAATTGCGGCCTGGATTTTAGATCAACAGCCAAACTCCAAAGAAGTTCATCTATATGCCTTTTTATTTTACCCCGATATAATTTCATAGCAAAAAAAAAAACCTTTTTTTTTTTAATATCAAACGGAGGGTGAAAGTTCACTCACTTTTTTTATATCAAACTTTTTTAGACCTTCAATTATTTCCTATTAACCATTTTATTTCATAACCTTTTAGTCCCCTTTTAACAACATGAATATGATTAAATATAGAACATCTTTAGTGAACGAGGCGATTGGTGATCATCACTTTTAATTTATTTGTTGAAAGTTCACTAAAATTTTAATAATCAGTTATTACATGTTAATAATCAGGTTTTGGGTGTCAATATGAACTTATTGTGAACTGGTTGCATTTAGTTACCCACCGCTTTTAAATTTACTAAAATTTAAATAATTTACATGAAAGTTAACTTGCAAAAAGTGATTTCTTTGTGAGTAATGATGCGGTAAATACAATGATTCCTACATATGCTTAAGGTATGACGGTCGGAGTTTACTTGGTGGTTTAAATCCTTTAAGCTCGGATTACATTATAGTGGATCACATGAACCCAGACTAAAGGTAGGTGTGAAAAAAAGTGCCAAAAATCTTTTTCCCTACATTTAATGCTCTATTTATAAGGGTTGAAGGGAACACATGCCAGAAACACATGTGTGACAGTCAGTGACGCGTACTTTTCATGCAGAGGGGCAGAAAAGTCCAGAATTGAGGCAACTACCGAACAAGTCCAGAATTTTTCAAGTTGTTTATTTGAGGTCGGTCTGAGTTGTTCCAGGGAAATGATTGCCCTCAGTGATCCCGTATACGGAGCAGGTATTCGGGTCAGATGCGGAATCCCAGGTGTATATGATACCAATCATTTAAATATTCTTTAGTCAACATCATTTCGTCATTATGAAACTCCATTCAAGCAATTATATACTCCTTATCTTATAGTGTAGCCGGTGAGAATTCCAAGAACACCGCCATGGAAGATCAGTACTCCATCTTCTCAGTGCTGCTTTCATTTCTCTTCATTGTCGGAGTAATGGGGCTTTGGAAAAGATATTCGAGCAGTAGTCGGCGCGCGAAGCTCCCGCCGGGGCCGAGAAAGCTTCCTCTGATCGGAAATTTGCACCAGTTATCCGGTTCCACGCCGCACCGTCGCCTGAGGCAGTTGGCCGAGAAGTACGGACCAATAATGCACGTCCAGCTCGGCGAGGTCCCGGCCGTTGTCATCTCGTCGCCGGAGGCGGCGAAAGCGGTTATGAAAACGCACGACCTGGTTTTCGCAACCAGGCCGGAGATCCTGATATCCAAGGTCGTCGGCTACGACAGCAGCCACATCGCCTTCTGTCCCTACGGCGACATGTGGCGGCAGCTCCGGAAGATCTGCGTAGTGGAGCTCCTGAGCGCGCGGCGCGTGCAATCGTTCGAGCCGATTCGCGCGGGAGAAGCCGAGGCGCTCATCTCTCGCATCTCCTCCGCCGCCTCCGGCGACAAAACAGCGGCCGTGAATCTCAGCCAGATGGTTTACTCGTTCACTAATAGCGTCACCGCTCTGGCCGCGTTCGGCGAGAAATCGAAGCATCAAGAGCGATTCATGACCGCGATGAAGAAGATAACGGAGCTGGCGGGAGGATTTGATCTGCCGGACATATTTCCTTCGCTCACGTTCCTGCACTCCCTGGGCGGTGCTAAGTCGGAGATGATAAAGATACACCGGCAAGTCGACGGGCTTCTTGACGCCATCATTGATGAGCACAGAGCTAAAAGAAGGAATGATGGAACGGACGTCGCTAGAAACGCCATTGAAGATCTTGTTGATGTGCTGCTTAGGGTTCAGCAGAGTGGTGACCTTGAAGTTCCCATCACATTGAACACCATCAAAGCTACCATTCTGGTATGTATCTTTTTACATCTTACTAACTATTCCACTGAAATCAAGAAAAAACAAAGTGGATAACCCCATTCAAGTTAGTCGGTCTATTGGTCTGGTAACAAAAATGTTACAAGTTCAACTCTCCAATGACCTTATTGGTTTGAGTCAGTCAATAATGGATAACTTAAACTAGTCTACCACGGTCAGCTAAGATTACAATAATGCAACTTACAAGGTGAAATTTCAATACAAATCCTTAAATAGTGCCTATAAATTTCTTTTGTCACTCCAGAAAATCAAAGTTAGATCAATTTACTCCCAACTAAGCTGGTGGAGTTCTTAACTTTATAAGACTATCTCTCCATCTTTAAAGAAGGCACCAAAATACCATTTTGATGTAGAAATTGGTGCAACTTCTTCTAAGAGAAGACACCAAATTCTACACTAAAATGGTGTAAATGAATAGTGTTATATCATATTTGATAACTGAATCAGAACCAAATCATAATCATGTGTCGCTCAATAGATGTGTTTATAATATTTATTCATTTATTCATGAATATAAAACTTAATGTGAGCATAATACACAAATTAACTGGGCACATGATCGTTGTCCTGTTATTCAGGAAATGTTCACGGCAGGGACAGACACCTCATCAGGCGTCGTAGAATGGGCGATGTCGGAAATGATGAAGAATCCTCACGTGATGGAGAGGGCACAAGCCGAGGTGAGGCAATCTCTCCTGGGAAAATCCGAAATTAAGGAATCAGATATCCAACAACTCCATTACCTGAAACTCGTGATCAAAGAAACACTGAGACTCCACCCGCCGATCCCGCTGCTACTCCCCAGACAATCAAGGGAGGACTGCGAGATCAACGGCTACGAGATCCCGACCAAAACCAGAGTGATTGTGAACGCGTGGGCGATCGGCAGGGACTCGGAGCACTGGGAAAACGCGGAATCATTCGAACCGGAGAGATTCCTGCAGGATTCCTCGCCGGACTTCCGAGGAACACACTTCGAGTTCATACCGTTCGGGGCGGGGCGGAGGATGTGCCCGGGGATGTTGTTCGGGCTCGTTAACGTTGAGGTTCCGCTTGCGAGACTGCTGTTCCACTTTGACTGGAAACTGCCCAACGGAGTTGAAGCCGAAGAGCTTGACATGACGGAGGGGTTTGGGGTGACGATGAGGAGACTCAACAACTTGCATTTGATTGCAATACCCTACACTTGACACTAGTTTTTAATTACTAAGAAAATGAATTAAACTATAGTATTGTGAAAATCAAATAATAAAGTAATCATGTAAGATTATTAGTGTTGTTAGATAATAGTGTACATTTGAGTTTATAAAGAAATACTAGTATTTTATATGCGCGATATGCAACTATATATGTTCAATATTAATACTAAATAGTTTAACTGTATTATTTTATTTAAAATTTATAACATATAATTTTTTAACAAAAATTAGAATTGTAAAATTTATATTATATTAAATACAAATATAGTTGATAATTTAAGTAATAATTATGGTATGATTAATAATATTATAATAAAAAATTTACATATGATATATTTACTAAATTTAATTATAAAATTGAATACAATCGAACTTATTTATTATAATAGCATGTTTACAAACATTATTATCTTTGAGTAATATAATAATAAAAAATATTGTTTGTACTTGGTTATGGGTCTTAAATGTTCATCAATAATATAATATAACATATTAAACAAATTATAAGTGCACTCTAAAAAAAATATACATTGTCACGTGACATTAAAGCATACAAAGATTTGTTAGCAATCCACCTAACAACTACATCCACTATTTTTAATAGTTAGGAACTAAATGTGTAAATATTTAAAAGTTATGTTATTGGATCAAATATGGAAATTTTAATAATCGAAGACCAAATTAAATGCGGTAAAGATTTAAAAGTTGTGGGATCAAATTTGAAAATTTTAATAGTCAGAAACTAAATGTGGTAATGATTTAAAAGTCGTGGGACCAAATATGAAAATTTTAATAGTTAGGGACTAAATGTAAAAATAGTTTCATACTCGTGGGACAAAAAGTTAAAATAACTCAATTTTTTGGTTATTAAAACACTTGAAAAGATCACAAGAACTTCACACAACAATGAAATATCAAATATCAAATAAATAAAAATTTACATGCTATGTGCCTAGACAGATTAATTTACATGCTCATACTTTAGCTTCGTTAGCTTTTACTCATGATCACTCTATGTATTGTGATGCTATCCCTCTTGACGCTATTACAGCTTTTATCAATTAATACAATCGGCAGATTGATTTTTTCAAAAAAAAAAAAATCAAATAAATAAAAATTGGAGATTTAGTTCAAAAGTCTTAGTCAAAGTTGGCTAAAAACCAATAAATACTAAATGATTGGGGCAGTGTCACAATAATGGACGAATTGGTGTTGTTGAAAACGTTACATTAACAAATCAAATTAGCCATTTTAACCATTTCCTATGCAACTTTACTGGTTAATCAAATAATACTGTTATTTACATGAAATATTATTATATAATAAAGTAATTTGACATTTGGGGGTGGGGGGTGGGGGTAGTAATAGAATCTGTTAATTCATCTAACCAAGTAATATGAAGAATTGTATCATCACTTTTCATAAGTTGTATGAAAAATTTCCACTTTTTGTCCCTTACTTATTTCACTTGTTTGAAATTTGGTTTCTTAATTATAAAAGTATGTAAAGTAACATATTTGATATTGTAATTATCTCCTCAATTGTGATAGTAAAATTTAAGAATTATGAATAATGATACGAAAAAATATATATATATATAAAAAATACTTTATGTATATACCACGTATAAATAGAGATATAGAGCATATATTATTACTAGTCTAAGTACAATTATTATATTATAATAAGGTCAAATGTAATGAGACACTAGTAAATGATTAGTACAAATATATGGGATAGTATTACAACTTAAAAGAACATATTTATTGAATTCAAATTTATTAATGCCATGATGATACTTTATAAGTAGGTCAATGTTGTGCACATTGTGGTTGGCTTGGCAGACGGCGCAAGAATGCATGCACTTAGGCAACTACAATAGCCTAAGGCAACAGTGTTGCAAGCATAGATAAAGTAATTTGACTTGTGTACTATTGATTCTGTTACCATCTACTATATGTTCTTAACTACTTTCTCAATTTACTGAAACACAAAAATTTTAAACTTGACTTCTTGTGAAAGCTATGAAAAACTCAACTAATTTATTTCATAATGATCATTTGTTGATTAGATCCCTTCACAAAAAAACATACATTCAAATATCTGTAAATTTATCAATAACCTTGTAGTCTAGTAGACAAAGTAGTTCTCCCAAATAATTGTAAGAGAGTCATAATACTTTAAAACAAATAGCTATAAACTTTTTTTTTTTTTTTTTGGGTTAATAAATTAAAAATTAACTGAGCAACCTTTTAACCCATCAATAAATATCGCTATGAATCACGACAATTTATATCGTGGACCAGGGTCTACAGTACAATGTGAACCTTAGTCCAATATACAGAATTTGATTTCATAAAGTACAGAATTTATGTTTATAATATACAAAATTATATAGCTGAGGATACATACACACTTAACATAATACACATAATTCATGTTCATAATGCACAGAATTTATGTTAATTATATCGTGTTTATGTGTATATGTATTATAAACATGAATTATGTGCATAAGTCAAATTCTGTGTATTAGACTAGTGCTCATAATGCACTGTGAACTCTGATCCACGATATAACTATTGATGAATAATTAAAAATTAAAGTTATTATTTAATCATCAACTAATCAACTAATGATTAAAACAGAGCCATCATTTTGAATTCCGTTGCTTAATGAAAAACGAAAATTCTGTGATATTTTGAATTCCAAATATTTTACTAGCAGTTTGTCTTCTCCCCGCTCCACAAACCGGGCCCCACCACTGCCTCTTCAAAGTTCAAACTGCACCGCTCAAATCCAGTAACTCCCACCACGCGCTCCCATTCCACCCCGCAGACAATTCGACGACTCTCCGCTTCCACGTGAACGTCACTCTCCCCACCCGCGATTGGTCATTTCGCGACCCCGAAGCGTGAAACTCAAATTAGACAACCCACCCTCCAAGCTCAGTCATATCTCTCTGCATTTTTGAAAACGTATCGTCGCCTCCTCTCAACCCTCTGTACCAGACTCGCCGGCGATCGGCGGGGCACCTGAATTAAACAATTCAACGGCTTTGCTCTCCTCCACTCCTCCCGTTTCGAATTATTTATGCGTTTGTCGCGGCATATCTATAGGTATATATATTTTGAGCTTGCGTGCGCGAATAGAATAGATATTTTGATAGGTTGCAATGTCGGAGGACGAGAAATTATTGAAGGAGGCGAAGAAGCTGCCGTGGGAGGACCGGCTGACTCATAAGAATTGGAAGGTTAGAAATGACGCCAACATCGACCTCGCGGAGCTGTGCGGCTCTATCACGAATCCCAAGGACCCTCGCCTACGTGAATTCGGTGAGTTTAGCCATTCAATCATATGATATCTGATCTGCTTTCGCAATTCGTGATCCTTTTGTGTGGATTATACGTCATGAGTGTACGTATGTGGTTGGATATACCTTAGTTTTTTGCTGAAAATGTATGATAGGACATTTTTTCAAAAAGGCTGTGGCGGATTCTAATGCGCCGGTGCAAGAGAAGGCACTTGACTCGCTAATAGCTTACTTAAAAGCTGCCGATGCTGATGTTGGAAGGTAATGCAAATTCATTTTTGAATTATGTATTGGTGTGTGAATTGGAAATATGATTGATCAAAGTGTTTGTTGAGTGGATAGGTATGCAAAGGAAATATGTGATGCAATTGTAGCAAAATGCTTGACGGGTAGGCCAAAGACAGTAGAGAAGGCACAAGCTGCGTTTTTGCTTTGGGTAGAATTGGAAGCAGTTGAGGCATTCCTGGTAAGTGTCACTAATCACTATATTCTACCTATACCGTTCTCTTTGCAAAGCTGAATGAAACCCTTTAAAGAGCTCAATTGCTTGTTCAAACTGTTTCCTTAATGGCCACATAACCACATTCCTGCTCCAAATAAACTTCCAATCCTTTTTTTTTTTTTTTTGCAAGCTTGTAACTTTTATTTAGCTGAATCACTATTTAATATTTATGGTGATAAATATCTTTGCACCTTGAAAGTGAGAATTTTGCATGTTGTAATATTATTTGCCAACCTTGTTTGGCTGCATTCTAAGACCTGCTTTGCAGCCAAGAATATTTTTTGAGAAAATTTGACGTCAAAATTTTCAGTAAGAGAGAGTGTGTACTACTAAATCAAGATCTGTTTTGGGCTTTGAAAATCTCTCTTCAGTGATAAAATCATGACACAGATTATTAGCTAATGTAGTATCAGCATGTTGATCCTTGTTAAAGGAAAAATTGAGAATTTGAGATAGATGCCCTACTCCATTTTTTTGCTGTCTGTTGAACAAATTCCATAATTTATAAAATTTGTCCTTTGAATTTTTCTTATCCATTTTAGGGAGGTGCCAAATGCAGAAGTTATAATACTGTGTTGGTTATCATTCGTTTTCACCCCTTTGCGTTTTAACCTTATTCTAGTTCTTAATTTGCATAGAGGAGCTGATAATACTTGTTCATCTGTTTCACCTATATGGTCTTACAAACTTTCACCTAGTTTACAAAGATGTGAAAATGATTGGTATTAAGGTTGTAAAAGGCGCTAGGCGCTCATCGGGCGGTGGATGGGCGCCTAGGCAGGTGCCTAGGTATATAAAAAAATAATTTTTTTTTTGTCTTTTATTTATTTTAGGCTTTAATATAAATGCATGAAAGACCTTTCATTTACTTTAGGCTTGAATGCCAAAGCATAAAAGACTTTTCATTTACGGAGTACTTTAAAGTAAGCATAGAAACCTTTCATTTACTTCAGGCATAAATACTAAAGCATAAAAAGTAGACTCTAGGCACATAAATAAAAAAAAATGTTTTTGCCTTTCATTTATTTAGGCTATCAAAGCAAAAAAAAAAATAAAAAATCCTGACTTTGCAAAAAAACTCGGTTGACTCGACTGAGTTGGGCGCTGAGGGCGCCTAGCCCCAAAATCCCCTCGGCCTAGGGCTGGCTAGGCCGAATTATGCTAAATTTTGGTGTAAAAAAGGAGCTTATGTAGGTAAGTTATACCAACATCTTCAGTAGTTTCTAGGCTACATATTGTAGCTTTTTACTTCCAAGTTCCAATAGTGTTTTTTGTCCCATGCAAGTGTTAATTGTAAGTACTAATTACACATTTGACGAATATGCAGTACGAATTTTATGAATTGACTCTTCAGAAATGATATTTGTCACAAGGATACAAGAACAATATGAGGATATCTTATTGCTAGTCTCTCTCTCTACATTTTCAAATTCTAATTATTTTTCAATTTTCATTATGAAATCACTGCCGTACAGGAGATGATGTCCCTTTTGGTAAATCATTCATTTTGAATGCTCTCTTTAATATAAGTATTTATTATGTCAATTTAGTAATTCTATATATTTATAATTATAATTAACATTATTTCATCCTCAGAGGATATTGATTATGAGAGGTTTGATTAGAGTTTAAAAGACCTGTGAATAAAATGATGTGAAGATTCTAGGAAGGTAGATTATTCCATATTTCCATAGATAACTAAATTAAAATCTGGAGATGGTTATGGTGTGAATTATTATATTATGATTGAATTTGAATGTAGTTTGGATCCTTTTAATTGGCTCATGTTAGGAAACCTAATTGGATGACGTACCAAATATTATTTTAATTATTTAATATTGGGGAGGAATTGATTATTGTATAGTAATTGATCTCTATAGATTGCAACTTTTTTGCAGTGAATGAACTTGAAATGAAGGCCTCATTTTCATGTTTTCTTTTTTGCTATGCGTTTCTTCATAATTTTTCGTGGCTGCCATTAGTATTTGTTCAATGCTTTCTATATATTAGTACATTTCTAAAGCATTGAATTACTTGTGATATATATTTTTTTATTATTCTTTGTTTTTGAAATTTAGATTGCTATTACGCCTTACAAGTATTTGTTTTTCTGTAGGATGCAATGGAGAAAGCCATTAAAAATAAAGTTGCCAAAGCTGTTGTTCCTGCAGTAGATGTTATGTTTCAGGCCTTAAGGTCCACTGCAATCTGGCCTGCTGTACTTTTTGTTGTTAATTATTGGTGCTTTGAAGTATTGTAACATTTATCCAAAATAATGAACAGTGAATTTGGGGCGAAGATTGTACCACCAAAGAGAATATTGAAGATGCTTCCTGAATTGTTTGATCATCAGGATCAAAATGTTCGAGCTTGTGCTAAGGGGCTTACACTGGAACTTTGTCGATGGATTGGCAAAGATCCTGTGAAATCAATACTTCTTGAGAAAATGCGTGACACTATGGTATGTTGATTGCCTAATCGTTTATGTTATTGTTTTGCTAGATACTTACTTTTGTTGGGGAATCTTAAAATACTTCCTTTTATGACATTTTAAGAAAAAAGAATTGGAGGCTGAACTAGTTAATGTCACTGGATCTGCTAAGCCAACTAGGAAAATAAGGTATTATTTATGCTTACTACATTTTTTTTTTTGGTTTTGTTTTGTTTTTGTTTTTTAGTTTATCAATACCTTTCGTTTTCCCTTGTTTTTTATTTTTATTTTTTTGAGAGGCTTATAATAACCTTTGGTTGATGGTTGTTAGATCTGAACAAGACAAGGAGCCAGAACAGGGTGCCGTTCCTGAGGTAGCTGGCTCTGGCCATTCTGAAGAATCTGTTGCAGAAAGTATGTAAATTGTTCTGATGTTCCTAGGCTAGTTAGTGTGGTTATGATGCTTGCTTGAAACTAGAATGAGCAACCTTGAACCTTGAACCTTGTAGTGGGAGCCTGTAATGTAGAATATATCTGGTCCTGACATGCACTGCCTTTTGTTTTTGGGCAGTTCCGCAGGAGATAGATGAGTATGAGCTTGTAGATCCGGTTGATATTTTGACTCCTCTTGAGAAGTCGGGCTTTTGGGCAGGAGTGGTAGGTGCACTGTTTTCCCAATTGTTTAACTCCACTACCTATTATTTTAACCTTTTAATGTTTTTACCCTTTTTTTTTTGGTGTTACTGAGGGACAATCCTTGCCAATGAATTATTTTGTTTTCTAGAAAGCTGCCAAATGGTCGGAAAGAAAGGAAGCTGTTGCTGAGTTAACTAAACTTGCTTCAACAAAGAAAATAGCACCGGGTGACTTTACTGAAATTTGTCGGATGCTGAAGAAGGTCTCTACCTAACAAAATTGATTTAATCACAATGTCTTGTGTTTAGGGTCCTCTGTTGCTAGATAAGGAATTCAAGACTATATTAATGCTTCTACTTCTTATCCTGATTATTGATTTTTTCATTTGACTAAGTACCTTTGCCTTATTATTATTTTTATATGGCTATTCTTGTTTACCAAGTAATATTGCAATTTGTTGATGTTGCAGCTGATTACAGATGTAAACATTGCTGTAGCAGTTGAAGCCATCCAAGCAATTGGAAATCTTGCTAGGGGATTGAGAACCCATTTTACAGGGAACTCTCGCTTGCTGTTGCCTGTTTTGCTGGTAAGTTGGCATTCTAGTTTCCATTTTGTTAAGTTCTGTGGATGTATGCTACTATGCTTTGTTCTTTTCATTGTATTTATTATTATTATTGTTGTTGTTGTTGTTGTTATTATTGTTACTGTTGGGCTTTTATGCTAGTGAGGTTCATTATTTCTTTTGAACAATAGGGTTATTGTGTCATGTTAAAGTTGTATTTCATTTTCCCAAACCTTTGAGAGCTTCTTAGATTCACTATTTTCTCAGATTAAATGGTCATGGAAGTCTTTTTTTTTTTTTTTTTAAATTTAATGTCATACTTTTTCTGAGGATTTTTGATCATCTAGTGTTTTCTGGCTAGTCATCCTTGGTACTCTTTCTTGCTGGTTGCTTCTGTTAGTTGCAGTAGATATTTGCAATGTATGTGATTCACGGGTCATTTTGATTTTGTTGTATTTAAAATGTTTTCTTTTGTATAAAAGAGGATGAGAAAGTATACTTCTTAAAGAAAAAGGGATCTAAAAGTGGACCAAGTGGTCCTTGCTTTTCCTTGTTTAAGTTTGCAAACATATCATAACTGGGGTGTTTGTAAACTTATTGTCCCTAATATACACAGGAATTGCTTTTCTATCATGTTATTATTTTCAAAAGTCCCTATTCCCTTTTGTTATTTAGAGCAATGTTGCAAAAAACGCTAGGCGCCCCCTAGGCGCCAAGGGGGCGCCTAGCGCCTAGGGCGCCGATTAATCGGCGCCTTTTTATTTTTTATTTTTTTAATTAAAAAAAATTTTCAAAATTTAGTACTAAAATATAAGGTTTCCATAGTTATTTCTTAGAAACTATTTACAAAAGTGGTTGTAAAATTGTTCAAAAGATTGTTTAAACCATCTAAATACATAAAAAACTAAAATGAAGAGCTAAAGAAGCATTTTTTTGAGAAATTAGTGGACCAAACCGCCTTCGGCTGTTTGCGGTGTATAGATCTCGAAAAAATACACGATTTGAAAAAAAAAATTGTCCAAATCGGACAACCGAGTCAAAAGTTATGCCTTCCGAAAGTTTTCCGACATTTTCAAAAAAAAAAAAAAAAAAAAAAAAATCGCCGAACCGGCCGGCCGCGAAGGAGGCCGCCGAGGCCATTCCTCGCGGCGGCCTCCTACCACCTAGCGCCTAGGCGCGATTTTTGCAACACTGATTTAGAGCAAATGGGGCATTTGTGTTTGTGTTGGGTGGGGAGAGGGCTAGAGAGACATTATGGTACAATAGAACATGCCTTAAATGGTGCGAAACTTCTGGTTACGTGGGTGTTATTCATTGAGTGTGATGACTTTCGTCCATGTTTCTACCTTTGATTCTGTATCAAATTTCATATTTTTGTTGAGTTTTGTTTGTAAAAAAATTCTTATTTTTTAAACAGGAAAAATTGAAAGAGAAAAAGCCTACTTTGATGGATTCACTTACGCAGACGCTCCAGGCAATCTACAAATCAGGGTGTTTAAACCTTGCAGACATTGTTGAAGGCAAGGGGTTTTTTTATTTTAAAAATAATAAATAAATATATATATATATATATATAAAATCTTTGCTAGTTGCTTTTAATGAACTGCTAAGCTACTAATAAAAAATTGAGGAAAGTTAGTTCAGAAATTTGTTGCATTACATTTTATATCTAAGATGGGCACATTCTTTCCAAGTTTGCTTGATATAAACGATGCTGCATTCCCATGTTCTGTGTTATAATAATCCTCGATCATTGCGTAAGTTATTTATTCTTTCCTGGTTGGTACTATTTTATGCAAAAACCCCTGTGTTCTTGTAGAAGAGTATGTCTTGCATCTCTTACTTGAAAAACCATCTTACATTATTGCTTATTTTAAATTATTTTCTCAATTTTAGGAAGAAAAGTTTTCCTCTCTTGTTTGGATGATTGAAATAAAGTATCGAAACATGAGTCGATTTATTATCTTAAATCTGCATTCTCGTCCCTTGAAAAGTTAAGAAAGATGATATGAGCAATCAAGTCCATCTGCACGTACCAATCACCTTTCCCATTCAAAGTGGGGGCAATAAAACATATTGACTTGTAGGAGTAGGAATGTAGGATTTACCTGTCCCCCCACAACATTTCCCTTGCATTGATTTTATCAATTCTTGACTTAAATTCTGCCTGAACATATTATATATTGTTGCAGATATTAAGACGGCTACGAAAAATAAAGTTCCACTAGTTCGATCTTTGACATTAAATTGGGTTACATTTTGCATTGAAATGAGCAGCAAGGCTGTTATTGTCAAAGTACAGAAGGAATATGTTGCCATTTCTATGGAGGTATGGTAATTGCTTTAATTTTTTTGTATTGTTATTGATAGTCTTGATGTTTTAGTTAATTGTCTTCGCTTTTTTATGATGCATGACATTTTTTTCAAATGTCTCTCTCAGTGTTATAAAGGCGTTGCCTAGGCGTCCGGTCGGTCAAGACCGAACGCCTAGTGTGCTCGCCTCGCCTAAGTGCAGAATACAACCCAAAACTCCACAAAAAGTACATGGGCAGAACCTACACATTAAGGCGAGTTGACCGGTGTAATTTCCATCCGGAGAAGTCGCCGGAATTTGCCTCACGCGTGGCGTCGGAGCAGCGGCACAACGGCGGTGCGGTTCGAGCTCCGGCGTCGTCCTCCTGTTGCGATCAAAGCCCACCACCTCACTTTGGCATGTTATCAATAAATAGTTAAATACTAGACTCCTCACTACCCTAGGACAAACTATTCATCTTCTCAAGACAACTTGAAGTAAATAGGGTTGCAAAAAGGCTGCCCAAGACAAGATATTTTCAATATACAATAAATATTAGACTTTTTCACTATTCTAGGAAAAACTATTCATCTACTTAAAGTAAATAGGCTGCCCAAGACAAGATATTTTCAATATATATATACTTTATTTATTTATTTAATACTCATTGCCTAGGCGGTCGCATAGTCGACTAGTCGACTAGGCAATCGGTGGCATCTCGCCTAGAAAGTCCGCCTTGATAACTCTGGTCTCTCTGGATTTCTTTCAACTCAAGTTTTATTAGGGATTTATGCCATATTGTTGTTAAAGAAAGGATTTGATTAGTAGTTCTGCTTAGAAGATGTATTTTCTGTTTACAATGATGTTTTTGTTTTTAGGTTTGGATTCCTTATTTGGTACTGGGTAATGGTATCAGTATTGCTGGAAAACATTGCTGAGTTTGAATATTGTTATTTCCAATTTAAAATATAGTATTGGATTACTTTTGTGCGTGTGCGTGTGTGTGTAAGAATGTGATATTTATCCTTTTTGACATCATGTTACACATTCATTTGGTTTTGACAGTGCCTAAATGATGGAACACCTGAGGTTAGAGATGCTGCATTTTTAACTTTGGCAGCTATTGCTAAGGTATATTTTATGTGAAGGCAGTTCTCTATCAATTTTCTTTCTATTGGTCCACAGTTGTATTTTTATGTAATAATGTTTTTTCTCATTGTAGTTGGTTGGTATGAGACCACTAGAGAAGTCAATTGAGAAACTTGATGATATTAGAAAGAAGAAGCTTTCTGAAATGATTGCAGGATCTGGTGGTGGTGAATCTACTGTCGCAGGTTTGAAATTCCCAAGTGATTTTCATTTCATTGTGCCCAATGTATTTCAATTTGCTTATTCTGACTCTCTGTCCCCTTATTTGCTATAGTAGTTACAGGTGCAGCACCGTCATCTAGGGCAACTGTACCTTCGTCAGAGGTAGTCTCTTTTCTAATCAGTTATTGCTTCTTTTGATAATTTATCATGTAGTAACATATAAATAAGTTGGAAATTGTAATGAATTTAATCTTGCTATGGAACTGATATTATACAAATTATGAAATATTTCATCTTGGAAATTTTAAAATGTCTTATTTATTGGTTTGCGTGGCACTAAGTCTATCTTTCCGTATTAAATATTCATCATATATTGGCATTATTTTTTCTTTCCAAGTGCCTATTTCTTACCGAGTCCATCAAGCTGAAATATTGGCATTATGATTTGGTTCTTTTTTCATCGTTTTGCTGGATGTTTCTTGGCAATTGGGCTTGTTAAAGATATTTTATATTGTCATTATTTTCTGGTAATCTTCTTTTTTAGGAATGTATATGCAACTAGGTTTGAATAAAAATCTAGTGGTTTTTTCTGTCTCATTTTTAGGCTTCAGATGGTTCATTTGTTAGACGTACAGCAGCTAGCATGCTGAGTGGAAAAAAACCTCTTCAGGCAGCTGTAAGTTTTACTTTATGACATGCACTCTCTTCTAAAACAAAAGGTCAAAACATCAAGGTGAAATGCTTGTTCTGTATGTTCTTATTTTTAATTTTAATTTAATTTTATTTTAACAGCCTGCTAGTAAGAAAGCCGCACCTTCAAAATCGGGTGCAACTAAAAAGGTAGAGGGAGGTGGGCAATCAAAAACTTCCAAGCCTGTGGAAATTGAAGATGTTGAGGTGAATAGCTAATATTTTTAATTCTCTTTGTTGTTTCTTTTTTCTTTTTTTTTTTTTTACCAGTGTTTGATATCTATATGGTTAATTTTCTTAACTTTTTGTTTTGTATAGCCTGAAGAGATGAGTTTTGAAGAGATCGAAAGCAAATTGGGTTCCCTTATACAAGCAGAGACAATATCAAAATTGAAGAGTTCCGCGTGGAAAGAGAGGCTTGAAGGTTCTATTTCATATACCTTAAAAATTTGTTTTGCTTACCAATCTTATTTCATGGAACTTGAGAAGTGTTCAAAATAAAGAAAGTGGTTTGATTTCGTCTTTCTCTTTGCAGCTATTGTGTCATTTAAAGAACGAGTTGAAGTACTACCAGAACTTGATATGTCTATAGAGATTTTAATTCGTTTGCTATCAACTGTTCCTGGATGGAGTGAGAAAAATGTTCAGGTGCCACTTTTTCTAACGTTTTCCTTAGTTTTGCAAAATAATTAATCTTCAAATTCTAATGCGCATGTGAATTGGCTAAAGGCCATCTAATCACTCTCTTTGGCGAAAAGTGCAGGTCCAGCAGCAGGTTATTGATGTTATTACCCACATTTCCTCAAAAGCATCAAAGCTTCCCAAAAAATGTGTTGTGCTATGCCTTCAAGGTCACTTTAATTTATTTCTCCTCCATTCCCACTCTCTTATTTTCTTATGCCAAATTTGCTGTGCTTTTTGTTTTCTTATTTCTAAACTATGCATGCGGTGTTACAGGCATTGCTGAAAGAGTAGCTGATATTAAAACTCGTGCTCAAGCCATGAAATGCCTCACTAGTTTCTGTGAAGCTGTGGGTCCAGGATTTGTTTTTGAGAGGGTATGTACCATTTAACTTACATGCATTGGTATTGTTGTGCTTAATGGCTTTAGATGCAAATTAATATGTGCTTGTGCAAACTTACTTCATAAAATTTTCTTCCTTTACTCAACATGTAATGTTTGCTATGTTGGCAATCCAAAAATATTTACATCTGCATGGTCTTAATCTTTAAACTATGTGATAATGTGATATGTTTGTGTGGTGGGAGTGTGCTCTGCATTATTTGAATTTCCTAATTTCTTGATTTTAATTTGTGTTAGCTTTATAAAATTATGAAAGAGCATAAGAATCCTAAAGTTCTTAGTGAAGGCATACTATGGATGGTCACAGCAGTTGATGATTTTGGCATCTCTTCTCTAAAACTTAAGGTGATCTTAGCCTACTATACTCTATTTGGTCAAACTGTGCATTGATTACAAATCAAGTTGGATGTTTTCTTTCTAATTGTATTTGCATTGCCAGGATTTAATTGATTTTTGCAAGGAAATTGGCTTGCAATCCAGTGTTGCTGCCACACGGAATGCTACCATAAAACTTATTGGGACTTTACATAAATTTGTTGGTCCAGGTGATATGTTTGCTTCCGAAACTTCTGAATGCTTTGTGCATCTTGCTGAGGCTAAAATGTACTTTCCCTTTGTGCAGATATCAAGGGATTCCTGTCAGATGTAAAACCTGCTCTTCTTAGTGCTCTCGATGCAGAATGTGAAAATAATCCATTTGAGGTGAGGTTTGGTCTAGTTTAACTTTCGTTTTCTTGTTAATTTGATTTTGTTATGTAACATTGTAACTTGGTTTGTTTGCAGGGTGCTTCTGCTGTCACAAAGAGGACAGTGAAGACATCAGATCCCATATCAGTGTCTAGTGGTGGGCTAGATAGTCTGCCTCGTGAAGACATTAGTGGCAAGATTACACCTGCCTTGCTAAAGGGCTTTGAAAGTTCAGATTGGAAGGTAGTCTATCAGGTTTTGTTTTGTTTGCTTGTTTTTTTGGAATAAATCTTTCACTATGTACTCTTTTCTTGCTCCAGATTCGTCTGGAATCTATTGAAAGTGTAAATAAGATCTTGGAAGAGGCCAATAGACGAATTCAACCATCTGGAACTGGTAGGATAGTCATGCCAATATGTAAGGTGATTGTTATTATATAATTGTAAAATTTCATTTTGAATGTTGTTTGTATGTGGATTGGTATTTGTAGGAGAGCTGTTTGGTGCTCTTAGAGGCCGACTGCTTGACAGCAACAAGAATATAGTTATGGCAACATTGTCTACTTTTGGTAGTGTTGCATCTGCAATGGGACCTGCAGTTGAGAAATCAAGCAAGGTATACCTTCCTACAACTTGAATTTTCTTCTTTCTTTTGCCCCTTACCCATCTCTGTCATTTTAGTTATTAAATCGATTCCTGTTGTGTTTTCTTTGCAGGGAGTTCTCACAGACATTTTAAAATGTCTTGGTGATAATAAAAAACACATGAGAGAGTGTACTTTGAGTACACTCGATTCTTGGGTAGCTGCTGTTCATCTCGATAAAATGGTGATCACACTTCTCCTAATGTTTTATATGTTTTACCAATGGTTTGTCACCCCATCACAATTCTGTTCTTTCTAGATACCTTATATCTCTGCCGCATTAATTGATTCAAAAATGGGTGCTGAGGGGCGAAAAGATCTTTTTGACTGGTTGTCCAGACAACTTAGTGGATTGAAACAATTTCCTGACGCTGTGCATCTTCTAAAACCTGCTGCATTTGCTATGACGGTATCCTGCTAAAACTAATAATGGCATCATTATTACTTCCCAAGTTCATATGTGAAACCTAAGATTCGAAATGGGATTCTGTTGTCTGTTTATAGGGTAAATCAGCTGATGTTCGTAAAGCTGCAGAAGTTTTCTTTGCTGAAATATTAAGAATTTGTGGACATGAAATGGTACAGGGCTTGCAATGTTTTCAATCTCCTCGTCATTGTTCTTTTTATTTAATCATTCATTTTATTTATTTGCAATTTTTTCCGGGTTTGCTTTGTTGTCCTGTGTAGGTGACCAAAAACTTGAGAGATATTCAGGGACCTGCTTTAGCAATTGTTATTGAACGGCTCAAACCTTTTGGGGCTCCGCGTGGTGTCTTTCATATCCCTGATAAGTCTATTTTTATTTTCCCTGTCTGTTATCTTATCTTGGTTCTGATTTGCTTGTTTGGATTCAGACGCAATTGAATCAGGAATAACAATTTCAACTGGGACAACAACCAAAACCAGTTCGAAGATTGGAAAGCCTAACGGTCCTGGTGACCATGCTTCTCGACAAGGAAGCAGAGTTCGATCTTCAGTATGCTTTAGATGCTTAACTGCCATGTTCACACATATATGCATGTATGTTTGTATATTGACTATTATGTTTTTGTACAGAGAGTTCTTTCGACAAAGAGCTCAAGGCAAGAGTCCAATGTGTCTATTCAGGACATCTCTATCCTGTCACAGGCTTTGATAAATGTCAAGGACTCAAACAAGGTAGAACAGAGGTGACATAATGAGTCAGGAACATACTATATACTTAATATGATATTGATTGCGTAAATTTGATACCAGGATGAGAGAGAGAGAATAGTTGCTCGCCGATTCAAATTTGAGGAGCTACGACTTGACCAGATTCAAGATCTTGAGGTCTGTAGTTGTTGAATGCTTATTTTCAGATTCATGTTTAATTCATTTCCCAATTTTAATATTCAAGTCTTTGCTGTTTCTCTATTTACAGAGTGATTTGATGAAGTACCTAAGGGAAGATTTGCATAAGAGGCTTTTAAGTACAGACTTCAAGAAGCAAGTTGATGGGATTGAAATGCTACAGAAGGTGTGTTTTGTTGTAATTTCTTGTATTGGCACAGATTTTTGAAATTGACCTTTTTTAACATCTTACCCTTCATATTTTCAGGCACTTCATTCCATTGGGAAGGAAATAATTGCAATTCTTGACATTGTTTTACGATGGTTTGTCTTGAGATTCTGTGAATCTAACACATCATGCTTATTGAAGGTTATATCTCTTTTTTATACTACATAAATCCCTTTTCCTGATTTGACATTGTTTGAACCTTATGACTAAGTAATTCAGATTATTTTCTGTGTTTTTCCTTCATCTTTTTCATTGTTTTGTTCTTTCATGTAATATTTCTTCCATAATTCTGATAGGTGCTGGAATTTCTTCCAGAGCTTTTTGACATGTTAAAGAATGAAGGCTACACCATGACAGAAGCTGAAGCTGCCATTTTCCTTCCTTGCTTGGTTGAGAAGGTCCTTTTGATCTTTCCATTAAAAATTATAGACGAATGGGCTTCTAAATATCTTTTTCAATTTAATTGTTTATATTTTAAAAGTACTGACATTTTATATGATTATTTTTTTACCCTGACAGTCTGGACATAACATTGAAAAAGTTAGAGAGAAAATGCGGGTGCTAATGAAGAAAATTATTTACACATACTCTGCATCAAAGACTTATCCCTATATTTTGGAGGGTCTGCGTTCTAGAAACAATCGAACTCGGATAGAGTGTTTAGACCTTGTTGGCTTCTTGCTTGACAACCATGGCGCTGAGGCAAAATCTATATAATTTTTTTTTAATAATAAATTTCTTTTAGATTAAATTTTGACTGAAATTAGCTCTTCCTTTTATTAACACTATCTTGTCACTGACAGATTAGTGGACAGTTAAAATCCTTGCAAATTGTTGCAAGTTTGACTGCAGAGCGGGATGGTGAACTTCGGAAAGCTGCTTTAAATACTATGGTTAATGGTTACAAAATACTAGGTGTGCTTCTTTTTTATCTTAATGCTTGCTTTTATTTGACATTTTTGCATCTTCAAATGATGCCGAGGGAATGAACTTCCAAAAGAACCCTTTTGTATCTTCTGTGAATATGTATTAGGTGTTGTATCTTGGTACCTTGTTTTCTATTTTGTTCCCAAGTCTTTCGTACCTACTGTTATCTATATTGTATTATTATTCTCATTTGAATTCTCTTCTGTGAATGTGTATTAGGTGATGACATTTGGAGATATGTGGGAAAGCTAACAGAGGCTCAGAGAAGCATGTTAGATGATAGATTTAAATGGAAGGTTGGTTAATCTCTTTGCTGTATTGTGCTCCCCTCCCCCAATGCTTATTAGCAGTCTATAAATGGGGTTTCCTGTAGCCTACCAGTCTCTATATAAATTAATATTTTCAGGCTCGAGATATGGATAAAAGAAAGGAGGGAAAGCCTGGGGAAGCAAGGGCTGCTTTAAGGCGCTCGGTGCGGGATAATGGGTATGTATTTGTTATGAATGCTTCAATTTCCAGCATTATGTACTGACATATTTTGTTAAGAAGATTATGTGTTACTTCTTTATCAGAGTGATATATTGCACTTCAGTAATTTGAACAAACTGAAATTCTGTTTCAGGTGTTTGAAAATTTACATGTTTAATTTTGGATATTTAGGTCTGATTTGGCAGAACCAAGTGGTGAAGTTTTCAAGTCCTCTGGTCCAATCATCAATAGGTATGAACTCCCCTCAAATGTGTGTGTGTTGGGGGTGGAGGAGGTTGGCTTCTCAGGGATATTGTTTTAACCTCTCACTTTCTAAATCAGGGATAATTATAACCAAACTGAGCATCCAAAGGGAAGGCATGAGGTTCCTTTGGAGAGGCATCAAGTGCCTTTACCAGCTTCTGCTGCAAATGGCCCCACAGACTGGAAAGAATCTCTGGATATTATAGTTTATGGTTCACCAGAACAGGTTTGTTTTGATGATTTTGTATGTTTTTTAACCTTGAAATCATGAGTTTGACCTATTGATGCATTTGACACCCCACTAATTTAAAGGCTGTGTACTGTTTAAGAGTGAATTCAACAAACTTGATGGTGCCACCCATAGTCCTAAGATTGTACAGCAGGAAATAGACAGCTTGCAAATCACAATTTAGGCACTAAACTAGACAAAATTTTACTATAAGTCAAGCAAAGAAAGAACATTAATAGGAGTCTTTCCCCAAGTATGGAAAAAAAAAAAGATCTTTGAATTTTCCCACTCTGGTTTAGCGATCATCTTGCATTTGATCCCACTATGAACTCTTTATGAGCAGAATTTTGGCAAGAATTTAATTTGTCCTATTCCCAATCTTCAAGGCCTCTATGAAAATTGAGAATCCTAAAAATCTCACCATTTGAAGTGAATAAATGAGATACCACGTTTGCTTGACTGATCTTGAATGATACAAAGCAGGGCAGAAATGTAACTTCTAACGGAGCAATCTGTGCACCAACATCTTCCCAAATTTAATTCTCTGACCATTTACCTACTTTCAAATGAATAAATTAGACCAACTGATCCTTACCTTGCACAACTTAGATAACAGAGCAGCAATTGAATTCAAGAAGGGCTTGATTAAAGAGATGAAGCTTTTTCATATCTCAACCCCTGTGATTAGGCTGTTTAAGATTTGATACAAATTACTTGGAAAAAATTGTACTTGTGTATTCAAAGAAAACAAAATTAGACATAAGTTGGAAATGGATCAGGTGTTTTAGCTATTCACTGATATCGAATGATATGTTCCTTAACTAAGAGCTTGAGCTTTTAGTGGAATGCACATTTATTATTTCATATATATTTATATATCTTCAACTTGCCTCCTCACAATATGGGCCAAACACATTAATGATTATGCATGAGTTTTATTTTACATTTATACTCGATAATTGCATTATCAAGCAACAAGATAGTGTACAATGAGGCTACCATTAGACTCCTCACCTAGGTGTTGCCTATATGTTGGTTTTGTAAAGATCAATGAATAATGTTGTAATCGGAATATTTGATATTTTTTGCAGGTCATTGAAGGAATGAAAGTCGTATGCCATGAATTGTTGATGGCTATGAATGATCCTGATGGCAGTGGAATGGATGAAATTCTAAAGGATGCTGATAGGATTGTATTGTGCTTAGCAAATAAGGTGAGCGATGCTTTAATTAGCATTTTACTTAACTGCATCTTTCATTTTGTGACTAACACTTGTATATTGCCTTTTGTTGGTGTTTTCTGCAGGTTGGCAAGACTTTTGAGTTCAGCCTGATGGGTGCCTCGTCAAGGTCTTGTAAATATGTACTCAATACACTTATGCAGGCAATGCTTCTCCTACTCTCCATTGATATTTTTTCAACTTTTCTGGAGGGAAAATTGCATTCTTTGCAATAATCTGTGTATCATAAACTGATATCATCTTCTGTTTTTTCCCCCTTTCTACAGACATTTCAAATTAAAAATCTCGCTAACGCAGTCAAGGAAAGCACCCTTGATATTCTCATTACTGAGCTTTTGCTTTGGCTTCTGGATGAAAGAGTTCCCCACATGGATGATGGAAGTCAACTTCTGAAAGCCTTGAATGTTCTGATGCTTAAGATCTTGGTACAGTTGATATTGAAAATATAATACATATGTGCCTGACTACTGCCTGTGTTATATCTATGAGTTTCTTTTTCTGGCTGATTCATATTCTTCATTTTCTGTTCTTCTTACTACTAGTGGTCACTCGTTGTAGGATAATGCTGATCGAACTTCATCATTTGCTGTGCTTATTAATCTCTTACGGCCACTGAACCCATCAAGGTGGCCATCTCCAGTAACACATGATTCCCTTGCTATTAGAAACCAGAAGTTCTCAGATTTGGTCGTGAAATGTCTTATCAAACTTACAAAGGTAATGCTTTTTACTTGTCACCACTCTTTGTTCTTTATTAATATTGCTTTCATGTAGTTTTAGTCATTCTCTACATTCATAAATGAAATGAAGTTGGATTAGGCATAGTTTAAAAATTAGAAGGTTAGGTACAACCTTTATATTTCACTGTTGATGTGATATTGTGATTACTATATATGCTAGGTTCTTCAAAGTACTATTCATGATGTGGATCTTGATCGGGTCCTCCAAAGCATCCACATATACCTACAAGAACTTGGCATGGAAGAAATCCGCAGAAGGTAACTGTGATTATCTCTAATAGGCTGCATGTCCTGTCTTGTTAATTGAGATTCTTCTTGTATTCTATCATTAAATTGCTGGTCATTTTGGACTAATTGAATACCTTCCCTTGCTGCTGCATTTTAACTTTCTGATTGTGCAAAGAGCTGGGGCGGATGACAAACCACTGCGAATGGTAAAAACTGTTCTGCATGAACTTGTTAAGCTCCGTGGAACTTCCATAAAGGGTCATCTTTCTATGGTACCAATTGACATGCAACCACCACCTATTATTCTTGCGTACATCGATCTTAATCTTCAGGTTGTCGTTTTTCACCATTCCTTTGTTCTTCTAGAACTGTCGCCTACTCACCTATGCACTTTTCTAATTGAATTTACCTTGACAGACATTGGCAGCTGCAAGAATGTTGACTCCCTCTGTACCCGGCCAGAATCATTGGAGTGATTCTGCTGCAAACAATCCCACACCTGCAACCCATTCTGCTGATGCACAACTGAAGGTATTATTTTGTACACTTGTGTTGTCTTTTGATTGCATATGCTACATTTTACTCATTGTTTTTTTCATCTTCTTATGTCTTGATATCCGTGTTTTCTCAATTTTCTATATATTATCTGTATTCTGCAACTTTTCTAAAACTATTTTGGTTGCTCTTTATACCCCTTGCAGCTAGAATTGGCTGCTATATTCAAGAAGATTGGGGATAAACAGACCTGCAGCATTGGTCTCTACGAGTTATATAGAATCACACAGTTATATCCTAAAGTAATTGCTGCTGCACTCATTATGCAAGAGTATTTCTTAGTATTTTTTAAACTCGTGGATGATGTACAATCGTGCTAAGGTTTTTCCATATGATTCAGGTTGACATATTTGCTCAGCTGCAGAATGCCAGTGAAGCATTCCGAACATATATTAGAGATGGTTTAGCTCAGGTTGGTTTTGGATTTTTTGGTTACACCCAATGTCATCGTACTTTTCTAATTTGTGGATACTGCAGATGGAGAAGAATGCAGCAGCAGGAAGAACACCTTCTAGTGTTCCTATATCAACGCCTCCACCTGCAGTGCTAAATCTATCTTCCCCGAAATTTAGCCCTGTATTTCCTGTAAATACAAACCCTCTGGGTGATTCAAAATCCATAAACTCCAAATCGGAACCCACTAACTTCAGTCTACCGTTATCTTATGCTGAGGAAAGAACTAATAATGTAGTGCTTCCATCAGAGTTGCACCTGCAACCAGGAGAACACAGAGTCGAAAAATTTCCCTCTGCAGGTATGCTTGTGCTGCCACTTTATCCTTTAATATTGCTCTCGTTTCACCTTCTAGTGGATAGATAATGTGTTCTGCCCACTTCAGTGTCTAGTGGAACTTTAGATGCTATAAGGGAAAGAATGAAAAGCATCCAATTAGCAGCAGCTGCCGGGAACCCAGATCTTCCGTTGATGGCCAGGAATGGGAACGTCAGCCATGGACGATCAAATCAACTTCCTTCAGCCGCTGAACATACTATCAGTGGAAATCCATATCCCCAGCAGAGTGGGGTTCTTCCCATGGATGAAAAGGCCCTCTCAGGGCTTCAGGCACGCATGGAGAGGCTAAAAAGCGGTTGTCTTGAACCATTTTAGGAAAGAAAAGGATAAACATTAAACAGTGCTTCATACGACGAGATCTTCTTCAAAGCCCCCCATGGTGTTTTCGTATAACACTTATAAACAGATAATACTCAAATCTTAATTTTGCAGCTTAGGCTAATGCTTCAGTGTGCTATATACCCCTGCTCGATAGGATTACTTTTGTATATATTGTAGGTTTATCATTTTTGGCTGCTACCATTATCAACAGGGATTTCTCTGATAAATCCCAGTTTTGTTCAATGTATCAAATAGTTGGCGTGGTTCTCATATTTTGTTAGAAACAAATGTATGATTATAGTAAAAACATCCAAATATGTTATATTAAAGGAAAACCATGTTTTCCAAGTATCTCTGCTTATATTATATTCAATCATTTTGTATGAGAAGATTATTTCAAATATTTTGTATGGAGTGATAATTGTTTTTTGGTCAGTATATCTTAACTGTAGGAGGTACATTTAAACCTGTATAATACTCAGATTAATTTCTGTTCGCTCTGGGTCGGTTCAAATAAGGTACAAAGTGTTGGTCAGATTGATTTTTTGTATGGAGTGATAATTGAGGAGGAAGCAAATGTTATGTCGAAAACCAAGCGCACTAGGGTAATGACCAGGAGAACACAGACAGAAGCAGGAAGAATACAAAGTCCTCATTAAATTATTGGAGGATATATAGATATATACAAACACACACATACACATATATGTCGAAACATATGGTGTATGCCCATATCCACAAGAATCTTCCATCATGTCTAGTCATCCCTACCCAGCTGGACTAGACCCCATGCGTCGTCTAACATTACCTGTCAAATCCATTTCATTCTTGGACATCCTCCTTTGTTGATCTCTCAGTGTCTCTATGCACTGTGCACTCAGAAATATAAATGCTTGTGTGTGTGTGTGTGGAGTTTAAGGTTTCACCTAACGTAGATTAACCTCATTTCCAAAACATTTTGCATGGTTCTAATCTCATTTGGTCCAACCCCAATTGATGTATGATGATCATTTATGGATTTCGATAAGACGTGACTGGACGGTAGTTGCATAAAAGAGTTAAGTCTACCTCAAACTTTGTAATTCAGTAACGCAAGTGTGAATTTTTTATAAGCCGTCTCAAAATCAGCTAGTTATTCTCAGTAGTATTCAAGAAATTGGAGAATAAATTGGCAAACTGCCCTTCAAATTTCTGTCATATTGAAATTCTATAGACTAATTTGATTCTATTCCAAAGATAAAGTTTTAAAAGTAGAAATAATTCTGCACCAATTAAGTACAATGAATACAAGTATTTGCATATCTACATATTAAATTTGGATGTCGCAGTAGTAGATACTGGAGTGTGACATGTAATGTACATTTTGTCATCCAAAATAAAGATTAGAATTTTAGGTAAGCAGCACTATCAAAGGCCTTAAACAACCCACAATTCTCTTTCCCAAGTACAGTGTAAACATCATTTCCTTCAAACAAAATTACAAACCCATCATCTATAAACAATTAATAATAATTATATATATATAATTATAACCCAAAAAGAAAAAGAAAAAAAAAAAAAAAAAAAAAAAAAAAGGAGAAAATTTTCTCATCGATCACTTTCCCTTTGGCTTGATCTCTAAATCATCCCATGGGATATTGAGATCAGCTGAAACCAGGGAATCAATATCGCTTAAGCTCCAGTAGTTTATTCCCATGTCCGTGATGGCTTGATCTTGCTGCCATGGCTGATGAGAAATAATGGTGGAGCTTGTGAATGGCATCACGGTGGTGATGGTTGATTCCTCGACATTATCGAGCTCTCCGATGATGTCGCTGTAGGACGAGGATTGGGTGTTGAACGAAGGAATGGAGCAAGAAATCGGATCGAAGTAAGTGGAGAACGAAAAGGGTAAGAGTTTCGCGGTGGTGTCTTGATCGTCGTGTAAAACCATCGGCGTCGACGACGGGCCAATGTTGAACGCCGCCGTGGCGGCGGCGGCGCCGATTACTGGGTCGGCGGGGAAGAAGATAGTGGGCGCGTTCTTGTTTTTCTGTTCGCCGGGTTTTTGATCAGCCGTGGCGGCGGCGGCGGTAGGGTTGGGCGGCGTCTTGAGGCGCTTGTTTTTCCGGCTGCCGCCGACGGGGACATTACGCAAGGTGCCCCCTTCCGTCCAGTGGCGCTTGCAGCCTTTACAGAAATGTCGAGGCTGGGACTTGTTATAGTTGTTGTAGTAACAGAACTTGGTATTCGCCGAAGCACACCTCGGACACTTCAAAGGCTCCGCCGCCTTTTGCGGCGGCTGTACGGCCGCCGGGAGATCCAACCTCGTACTCCCGCCTGTCTGGGGATTATTATCCCACTCAATAATCCCAGGTTGATGATCCCCGCCGGAAACCTGCTTAGTACTCAACCCCATACCTACCTATTTCAATTCTGATCTTCAATTCGATCAATATATATAATCCCCACAAATAAAATCTCAAATCTTCCAAGAATTAATGCGATCTTCAGTCTCTTTGATGATCAAACAAGCTTTTGAGTAGCTAGCAGCGAAAAGGACGAGGATGCGCGAGGAGGATAAGGTTGTTTTGTCTGGGGAGAGAATATATATATATATATATATATATATATATGATGATGAATGAAGAAGAAGAGAGGTATGTAGTTGAATGAAGTTCCAAGGAAGGTGATGAGAAGTGAGCATGTCGTCTCAGATTCTGTCTATATGTCAATTTTATTTATATATATTTATATATATACACACAAACAGATCAGAGGTGTAGAGAATAGGGGCGTATAAGCGTGTGTATAGTATGCTATGAGAAGTGGTGTGGTGTGGTATGGTTAGGTTGGTAATTAAGAATAATTGTGAACAATATTTGTTTGTGCCATCTGATCTCTATTTTATGCATATTTTGTTGTACTTTCTCGAGTTTTGATTTTAAGTTATCAAGTTGGCTGATATGTTTTTTCTCTATTTTATACATATTTTGTTGTACTTTCTCGAGTTTTGATTTTAAGTTATCAAGTTGGCTGATATGTTTTTTATATCAAAAGAAAAGGTTCGACTCAAATTAATCACATTGACTTGTTGACAATTCTCCGTGAGCACAGAGTGCCTTGGTAGTCACGCACCTTCATCTTCTTTCGAAAGGTTCTTTAATTTAATTCAATCCAGTCCCTCCCTTGCCGACTTGTAAGGTTAGCCAAAATGTCGACCACATCATTATGCTCGATCTCTAAAGACATATATGTTTTATCTCAACATGTTGGTTGGTTTTAAAGGAACTTGTTGGGAATGAATAGGTTTGAGCTGAGCTTCTTCTCTTTTTTTTTTAATTTGCCTCTCTGAATTTCATAATCTTTCTTACCAAGCAATTTATGTAACAACTAACAAATACTTTTTTTTATTGGGCTTTGCGCGTATTGAGTATATGACATTTTGCATCAAATATGTATTCAACTTTTAACTTTAGTACAATGTACAATAATATAGCAAATCTCAATTTGGGTTGTAGGTCTTGGATGAATTGAACTTCTAAGGGAATATATACTTCCTAGTTGGCGGGTGCTGTAATATGAATTGTTTGACCTAGATTCATACACTTTATTTATCTATTTACTCTTTTCTTTGTATTTAAGAAATGGAGTATATATTCTAGTTCTAACATAATATTGGTCCGATATTGGTTAGGCTTGTATGAATCGTTTCATTCTTATAATTTTTGTATCAAACAAAAACACTACATTATATAGTTGAAAGCAGTTGAATGTGAACAAATTACCCGCAACTAGATTGGCAGCACCTTCTCATCATCAACATATTATTATATATATTGGCACGCAAATTCTATTCATATTCTAATTTAGATTGAGCAATAGGAATCTATATTTACATTATATGTTAGCTAGGGAGAGTGCAAAATAACTATAGTGATTGTAGTAAAATGAGTAGTATAAGTAGCAAAAAGTCACCATTTAATTTGATCACGGTTATGATGGGTAATTTTTGTCATTTGTGAATAGTGTTGCGCCAAATTTGTCACCTGAGCTATTTTTTTAAAAAACTTTTATATATATTCCTGTTTTACTATTTGTTTTCTTAATTCCTTTTGTATATTATTTATTTCATTTTTATGTATGTATGTGTGTGTGTATGCGTCTATATCATTTGAAAAATTTTCATTAAGACGATTAAAACAGTACTAATATAGATCGAATATATGATTAATTAAAAATTGAACTACATAAAACATAATTTTAAAAAAATTAAAGCAAATTACATATAAAATTACTTTAATTATAATTCTATTTTATATTAAAATATTTAAAGTTTTAATTTATGAGAATACAAATTATTTTAGTAAAGAAATAAAATTTGGAGCAAAATTTAGTGTATTAATGGGTTGGGGGTGAAAAAAATTTGGTATAAAAATATGCTGAGAATATTTTTTTAATGTAAAATTTGGTGCATAATTTAGTGTTTTGGGTTAGAGATGGTCTAAGTAAACCACCCCTTATTTAATAACCAGCAAACTACACAAAAAATTTTAAACAATAAATTTTAATAAAATATTAACAACAATCAAACTCAATACATTTTTATATGAGGAAACACTTTACTATTTTTAGAATTATAAATGTAGTGTCAATATTCAATGCATCAATTTTAAATTCTGTGGAATTTCTTTTTCAAAAAAAAAAAAAAAAAAAGAGCTTATAATTTTGGAGAAGTAACTTGCTTCACGCAGAAGTTGAAGGGGACAAACTGTACTGTAAATCGAAGGGTGCTGACGTGTCGCATCACTGACCATTGAAAGTGGAATCTGGTTTGATTGGTACAAGGAGATCTGAAATGCCGCATATCTTTACAAAAATGCATGTGCTCATGGCTATGTTGTGTGAATCACGTTCAACAATCAAATTTATAACAATAATTTATTAATTTATATTATTTTTTTAAAATAAAAATAAAGTTGAAGAAGAATAAGACTAGAAGAGAGATGAGTCAGATGAGCGGATTTTTCTTGAGAGGCGTACCACCGTCCTTCCTTGTCTGATCCCTTATCCGTTCCCTAATTTAATGTCACTCTGATTCAAAATAAGTAACCGAATAGATGAAACATAATTTTTATATTAAAAATTTTTATTTTTAAATTTTCTTTTTTTCTAAAAGTTAAATTTCAAATCTTAAAAATAAATAATCAGTAAGATGATGTAAATTATAATGACTCAGTAATTTTGTAGATATGATCAAATATTGGTGTGTACAAGACGAATTTGTCCACTTTGAATATAATCACATACGGTTGCTATCAAAATTTGAACATTATATTAGTCTTTTCTTTCAAATACTGTCTATTGATCGAACCAATGAGTTAAGCTCGTGCATATTACGATTTTGATTCTTATTAATATTTTCTCGATTAAATTCGTCACTCAAATATTCTTAATAAATTTACTTTTCATGTGTAATTTATAAATTATTACACAAACGAGAGCTTTTGACTCCTCTCATTATCTAAAAATAATAATGCTACTATTTTATAGTCCCATTTCATATACTAGAGCTTTTGACTCAAACCCCATGGTCGGTTTTGTGTCTGCTGCCACCTTCTATCACACTCAAAACATTATGACCTTGCATATATTGATGCATGCATGTTACACCTAAGCCTACCTAGTAATTATCTTGATTGTTATTGTAATTTTCTTAGGTAAAATATTAATTATGTTTCGTATTACTTAAAATAGAGCGATTGAATTGGGTTAATAACTCAGACAATAACAATAAATTCGAGAATTAGCTTTTTAAAAGATAAACTTAAATTAGCTTCAGTGGAGGCGGACTATTAGCGGTAGATTGAGAAAATAGTTATGAACAAATACTACATTCTAACTGAGTCAATAGTACTAAAAAAAATCAACTTAAATTAGGCTGATTAGGAAATATGACAATTAGTTCAACTAGATTTACAAGAGTCAAACTATTCAACATGGTCTTACAACACCGTTGGTATAAATTGTCATAGGATAGTTGTCTGAGTACAATATTATCACGTAACCTAATTATCCGCCAATCCCAAAAAGTGACATGCTAACTTATTTATTATGTATTGTCATGACATAGATAATTCAGATCTTGTATAAATAACTCTCTAGACTCACACTCAAGACGACCCTCTTTATCGATCTCCTTCTAGTTCTTATGTCACTACTTGTCGTACTAACTTATTATTGTTTCTAATTAGAGATGACTAAACTCAATTGATTGATATTTTTTTCAGCAACGTTATACTTCACCGCTTTACATTAACACTTTAATTGTAATTTATCAATAATAAGATATACAATTTTATCATAATGTAACCACAAATTCTTGCCCTTAACCTAATTTAGGCTTTAATAAGGATGATTAATATTTTCATCATATGTTGGGTGAAAAGACATAGCTGTCAACATGTGAGTAATATAAGTGATGGATTAAGGTTTCTAACTGACCCCACTGGCCAACCCATCCAACATCATTCTCCTTTGCAAATCTTTAAAATTTTACAATCTTTACATCACTGTCACAAAATTTTTTAAATTCTATTCCTGCCACTAAAATTGAATAATACACACAGTTCCTTTTAAGTATAAGAACAGATAAGGGTTTTCATTGGACCACTTTGGTCCAACTTCAACTTCAATTTTTCTTTGAAATTATTGGTGTGCATTAAATATATGACAAATAATAAACAATAGAAACTAGATATTATTAAATGGACCAGAAAATAACATTTTAAGTCCCTAAGTTATACTTATTATGGTGTAAAAATAATAATTAACAAGGAGGTGCAAAATTAATTTTTCAATTTTGACCAAATGACTTTTTAGTCATGCCTAATGAAAATTGTTAATTGGTTAATAAAAAATGACATAAATTGTACCCTAATAATATGACATAGTCTTTTTAATTAGTCATTTGCGTGGTTTTTTCCTTTCTACAAAATGTTTTGACTAACGCACTTTATTCCCAACTAGAAGAGTGCAAGAACTAGTTCAATTTTGGGATGATTATCATACTTCTTTGATTGGGAATGAGGTGAGTCGGGTAAAACATTTTGAAAGAGGAAGAAAGCTAAGCAAATTACCAAAAAGATCATGCATGTAGTCAAATTAGGGCTCAAAAACTAAAAAGACAAATTTTACACTTTCAATAAATTAGGGAAAATTTTTACACTGTACAAGTATATATATAACCACTATGGTAAGACATCATTAGTAAAAGTAAATAATTATAAAAAACGAATAGGCTGGTATCTCTTGATTACCATATCATTCTATATCACACGCTCTATTTCCAATTATTTAATTAATGATACTTTAATAAATAAAAACCATTAAAAATGTGAACACTAAAATAAACAAGTTTATAAATATTAATAAATATAAAAATTCCCAAAATGGGTGGTTGGGTAAGTGATGGAATATGAGTCTCATAGGTCACGTTGATTTTTGTAAACATCTTCTTGGTTGAGCTTGAACACATTACATAAGTCTTAATGCAATGATTCTCATATTCTATATCTTGATGTCTGTAGTTAATATATTATGTGTTTTTAAT